GTGAGAGCGACATTCCTTACTTGCACAAGCTTGCTGGACTGCTGAGCCCTCTGGTCCCCATACAAAGTGTGCAGTCTCGACACAATGGTTCCTCTCGAGGGCAGATTGTAACACTCATCTCCTGATGCAGCACGAATGACTTCTCTCAGTCCATCATCTTCTACTATGCTAACTGGTTGGCAGTTTTTAGCTATCCAAACAACCAAGGAATTGGTTACCTTTTCTCTCACATTTTTTGTTATTCGTCCACAAGCACCATACTCCTGAAGCGTAGACTGGCGAGGTCCCGTAGAGGTGGATTCAGTTAGGTGTTTTGCTCTCAGGTGATACGCCAGTGATGAACTGCTTCTGTGGTACTTGAATTCAGCGTTGCAAATTGTGCATCTTACTCTCGTTTTGTCCAACAAGTCATCAGGCAACTTCTTAAAGAGAAACTTTCCACCCAAAAGTCCGCCCTCGTCCATGCTTGCGTGTGTTAGCTAGTGTTAGCTAGATAGTAGCATGGTGTCACTTCTTCTTCTTCTTCTAATCATTTCTGTCAGGCCAAACGCCAGCATAGCACACTGTTGCCCCCTCCTCCAGAGGTGCTCATGAATTTAAAGGTCTTAGATTACAGGAAATTAATAAAAAAAACAAAATCAGCGTTAAATTTTTTTAATGCATTAAACATTTCGCGTTGATCTTAACAATTAACGCGATAATTTTGACAGCACTAATATATATATATATATATATATATGTATATATATATATATATATATAGCTGGAGAAATACCAAGGGCTCAGAGAAGAGCTCGAGAGGATGTGGAGGGTGAAGGTAATGGTGGTCCCCGTGGTAATCGGAGCACTAGGTGCAGTGACTCCCAAGCTAGGCGAGTGGCTCCAGCAGATCCCGGGAACAACATCAGAGATCTCTGTCCAGAAGAGCGCAGTCCTGGGAACAGCTAAGATAGCTAAGATACTGCGCAGGACCCTCAAGCTCCCAGGCCTCTGGTAGAGGACCCGAGCTTGAAGGATAAACCGCCCGCAGGGGCGTGCTGGGTGTTTTGTTTTTTTTTCTTTTTTTTATATATATATATTCAGATAATTTAAAAAAATGTTCATTTACCTGTTACTACCACACACCAAATCCGATCATTGGTACTTCCTGGCTTGTGTAGCCATGAGGTAACAAAAGCTCTGCGCCCTAGCATCCTGGTGTGACGGTCCCCCAGTTCAAACGTCCAACCACTGCCATGGTGGGAACAACAGTTCTTGCGGCCGACCCAGTGGACCGCAAGCAGGCAAAACCCGCTACGGGTCAGGCAGTGGTGGGAAAACAGTTCGGGCGGCCTACCTCCAACCCCATGATGGAAGCGGAACGCTTCAGGCGGCCTGCCACGGATCCGGTGGCGGCGGCGCTGCTCCTCCGGCGGCCTGCCACGGGTCCGGTGGCGGCGGAACGGTTCTGGTGGCCTGCCACGGGTCCGGTGGCGGCGGAACGGTTCTGGTGGCCTGCCACGGGTCCGATGGCAACGTCGCTGCTCCGGTGAGCAACAGCGAGGCGTGGCACATGGTCTATGACGCGCCGGTCGCTGACGTGGACGCACTGGACGTGGATGGCGTGGAGGCCGCGCTAGACGTGGAGGTCCCTCCGGTTCGCTGACCTCCGGCTGAGCGGGCCCCTCCTCGGCTGGCAGCGAGAGTCCCTCCTCGGCTGGCAGCGCCGGTTGTTCCTTCCGCTCGCCGAGCTCCTCTGCTGGTGGTTCGCTGAGCCCCTCCGGCTCACTGAGCTCCTCCGGCTCGCTGAGCTCCTCCTGCTCGGGCATGCTGAGCTCCACAGCTGGCGACGCGGGCTCCTCCCGCTCGCTGAGCTCCCGCTCGGGCATGCTGAGCTCCTCCGGCTCGCTGAGCTCCACAGCTGGCGACGCGGGCTCCTCCCGCTCGCTGAGCTCCCGCTCGGGCATGCTGAGCTCCTCCGGCTCGCTGAGCTCCACAGCTGGCGACGCGGGTATAGATGGTCGTTGATCCGGAGGTGAAGATGGCGATGCGGAAGCTGCAGGTGGCGAAGATGACGGTCGAGCGGGTGATGTGGATGGTGAAGTCGAGAGTTCTGCGGTCGCTGCAGTCTGATGGGACGCTGGTGGAGAAGTAGCTGCAAAGGGCGGAGGTGATAATGGTGCGGCAGCTACTCGTGGTAGACTGGACAGCGATGTAGAAACAACAGGCAGGTGACATAATGGCAGGGTAGTTCCAGCAGGCATATCAGCCTCCAACTGAGGATGAAGACGAGAGGCTGACTGGACTGGCTGTGCTACGGCTACAGGCTGGGCAGCTGGCTGTGCTATGGCTACAGGCTGGGCAGCTGGCTGTGCTATGGCTACAGGCTGGGCAGCTGGCTGTGCTACGGCTACAGGCTGGGCAGCTGGCTGTGCTACGGCTACAGGCTGGGCAGCTGGCTGTGCTACGGCTACAGGCTGGGCAGCTGGCTGTGCTACGAGGTTAGCTTTCACACAGTCCCGTGAATAAACAGATGAGGTGAATGAAGATGAATTGTCCATATGACTCACCACAGCCGGCTGTTGGAAAGTTTTAGAGTCTGACTGTAGTGAGGCACGCCGGCGGTGCAAGCGTCGCTTCTTTAACGATGCCGGGGCCAGCGTATCAGGCTGAGGTTCCACCAGCCGGCCGGACAGGAGAGCAGCTGTGTGATTTTGAGCTGCCGGTCCTTGGTCTGCTGACTCAGCAGGTGCCGCAGAGGTGAGTGGAGATGTGGTGAGGTGCAGAGGGCGTGTGAAACGTTTCCCCCGCAATGGAGGGTCCAACAAGCGAGCTGCAAGCTATCAGCCTATGAAAAAAGAAATAGGCAGCAAGGGCTCCCAGGGAGGTTGCCATATCCTCCTCGCCCGGACAGCCCAAACCAAACAGCTCAAAACAGGAACTTTCCCTCAGCGTGGTTATAATCGAAATTAGTCTCTTAATGTCCAAAAAGCTCACAGATGAGGTGATTGATGATAAGAAGGAATCAAAAAATACGACCTGTAAGTGTCTCTGATGTGGATCTGCCGCCTGGATAATGCTCCGACAGTATTTCCAGAGCTGGGCGAGCAATTCCTCCTGTGAGACGGTCCTTGAGTCCGCTGGGCCCATAATGGCTGGATCGTTCTGTCACGGTCTCGCTGGCAGACCGTGGGGATGTGGGGAAAGGAGGACCCAAAATGCAGGACTCTACAGTGCAACAGTGTTTATTTACAGTGGTGACAATCCGAACAACAATAAATCCCCCCGTGCGATCCCAACTCCCGTTCCGTGTCTTCTCCTTTATCCCGTGCTCCGTGCTCTGTCTCCATTCCCTGTGTACTCTCCGTGTGCTGCCTCCTGGTCGCCACAATTCCTCCTGAGGAAACACGTATACCAAAGGCAGCCGTGAGTACAAAACCTAACAGTAGACTTGCACTAACCTTGCACAATACACTTAAGACTGACGGGAAGTCACTCAACGATCCAGCGTCGAGGAGCTCTCAGCCACACTGTTTTGAAGCTCCTCTGACGAGGCTTGATCGGCGCCAGGTGTGTGTGGATTCCTGGGTGGGACCGGTCAGCTGGCAGGGCCACACCCACCAGGCCTACAAGTGCCTGCCACGACCGCACCCTCACATACACAAGCACACACCCCTAAACACCTGACAGTACACCAACACGGAAAAACAGGACAGCAGACACAACCATGATAACAACAACCACAATAATAATAATAATAATAATAATAATAATAATAATAATAATAATAATAATAATAATAATAATAACTACAATAGTAGTCCACACTGCTCACGGACCCCGAATCCCTGGAACTGGGTCCGTGACACCTGGAGCACTTCTGTTTTGTTTTGGAGTTTGTACTGTGCCTCAGCAGAGCAACAAATATCATCATAGACAGTTCCCATCCTGTTTTTAACTTGTTCAGCCTGCTTCCATCAGGGAAGTGCTACAGGTGCCCCCAAAGCCATAACCACCCTTAACTCGTACACGTACTCGTACCAATAACACAGTCCCACACAGCCATTTTCCCATTTCCCTTTATAAACCACCACTGTGCAATAATAAATTCTATGCGCAATAACCCAAACTGTATATACAAAACAAACTATTTATTTACCTATTTACTTTTTTCTTCTTACACCAGATTGTATATTTGTACATTTTTATACATTTTATATATGTAGCGCAGCAGAACTGTGCCCCCCCTAACCCTCCCCCCCTACATGTTTGCACTGAGTTGGAGATGCTCTGTATCTTATTTAACAAATGTCTATTCTAAATAATAAAGGTTGAGTTTAAGGATAAAGTGACTGAAATGAACCCAGAACTGAACTGTGTATTTTTGCATTGTATTATATCCTAGGAGGCATTGTGTAACTCAATACTAAAAAATAACATGGTAGTTGATGTTGTCACTAAGTAGCTCTACAGTATAGTGGATTACACATTTGCCTAAGTAGTGAACAAACCTTGGTGGCTGTGTCAGGAAGCTGTAAACCTGCCGTAGTGACCACTTGTGAGCAAGGAAGTAGTTTGTTAATGTTGTGAATAGTTCCCTTCATCAGGGCAAGAGCACTGAATCACAAACAGTTTGTTGCACTTTTGGAGGAGCGTAAGACTGAACATGCTAACACAGGATGCTACACAGGTGTCAGGTGCTCAGCTGGGACAAAGTGCTGAAAAGAGTGTCACTGCAGTTTGTTTGTTAGTCCTTTTTGACTCGACCTTCATAAGTGAACAAACATAAACAAAAACTAGTTAGAGATCCTCTCTCACAATTGGTCCACTGTCCTTTGCATTTCCACCTCAGACACTGAATTTGAATGTTGATAAATAGTAATAACATTTTTGCATTTTTATTACAATTCCAATTTCATTTTGTTTTCAATTTCATAACCCTCACTCCTGTGTCCTGGTCATTTGTTAGCACTAATACTACCCCACTGACAACTGTGCTACAATTTTCGATTGCTTCTCAGGTGGAGTCCAGTGTCCAAACATCAGTGCTCTGCAGGAGGTGAGAAGGTGCAATGACCATCCCTGTACTGTCTACCACTGGCAAACTGGTCCATGGGGACAATGCATCGAGGACTCTTTCATTCCATCAACCAACACATCTGTGGGCCGTACTCGTGGAGATGATGTCTCCTGTTCTGTGGGGATGCAAACCCGCAAAGTCATTTGTGTCCGGGTGAATGTGGGCCAGGTTCCTCCCAAAAAGTAAGAAAACCTAATCAGCATATTTTGGCATATGATCGAATACTCTATTGCACGTCTTGTGAAGTTGAAAGGGCATGAAATTGTCCCAGTTCATTACCAGTACAAAAACTGAACAAAAATATCTATCCATGTAAAATTATTCTGGGACTTTTTCACCTTCTCTCTTATTTTTATGTTTTGACTGTCTGTTCTGTCACTTGTGATAACATTGTATGCACACATCAATGCAACTGGATTGTGTGAACTGATATTTTAAATAAATATGCTTTTCTGATTTATCTCCAGATGAAATGGATAGATGAGTCTGGCTAAATTGTTCAACATGTAAAACAAACAATGTCAGACAATGTTTAAAGATAGATGTGAGGGCGGGGTTCGCCGGTGTGTTTGTGAACAGGACCCAAAAGCAGACGCTGAGAGAGGAACTGGACGTTTTCAACAAAAAATGAGCCTTTATTATGGCTGATTGTCATGAACAAAAACTAGGAAAGGCGAACATGGAACGCCAGGACTGCCATAATGAATTAATTAAATACACCATTAAATAATTAATTAAATGTGGCAATAATTAATTAAAATTGGAATTAATTAATTAAATAAATAGTTATGATATATGTAATTAATTAATTATTGACACATTTAATTAATTATTTATGTATTTCACATTTTAATTAATTATTGACACATTTAATTAATTATTGACACATTTAATTAATTATTTAATGATATATTTATTTATTTCATTTTGGCAGTCTTGGCGCCTGGCTCTCATCATGAAATAATTTTATCTGTCAGCCTCACCCATCAAACTCAGGGGGCGGGGTTAACGCTGATCGAGTCAAAACCATTGCTTTGGCCTGGTGGCCATTGTTTCTAGCACACAACAACCGGCATGTGGAAGCTAACAGAACTGAGCTTTGAAAAACCCTGTTTGTGTGTTACCAAATACCGTTTTAATATTTTTTTAGCCGAGAATGTAGTGGTTTAATCTTCATGTGTCTGGTCGGTTTGTCAAGATACAGCCTCTTTGCAAAAGTGTTTCGATGATTTCAGAGATGTCGTCCCAGTCTCACGGCAAAGCGTGGGATAGACCCGCTCGCCTCGCAAGCAATCCCACCGACAAAGCGCAGGCCCCGGTACACAGCTGTAGTAACCCCCGCTGACTTCTTTTACTGAGGTTATATTTATCGGTGTTTTATTTCCTGATGTTCTTATGTGTCCTACGTGTTTCAGTCGCCAATTCTGAATTATAACTAACATTAAAAACATGTTTAAGGAGGAGAGAGAGCAAATAAATCTGTTTAACATCTGATCTTTGGGTTTTTGTTCAGTAATCAGCGTGACCTGTGTATAAACACATAAAAGAGATAACGTTGGTGTTTCCGTCATGTAGTAACTGCTGGCTTTAACTGTACAAAGGTTGTTCGACACTATGAAACACATACAGACTTCATGATGTTCGGCTAATATTTTTATTGTGAATATTAATCATGCTGACCTCGCTCTGTACACCACGCAGCGAGGTCAGCATGTCCACGATATCCTCAGCTCCATGAGTTAACACAAAGTTTCCCAGCTGACTATCTAACTGCCAACTATTCCAGAGACGTGAAAATATACAGCATAAAGAAAAGTGTAAGAGACTCAGCAGCAGATTAGAATAACAGTTATACATTTAATAAATCACCAAATGAATCCAAGAAACGAGCAAACCTGTTCCGACAATTTGAATTTGTATTCCCTCAGCTGCAGACTCGCTGCTGTTTAAATGTTTGAAAAGGAAGATTAGATATAAACAAACGTCAAACATAGACTCAGTCTGCCTTCACATTTGATATGAGGCCAGCACGTATAGTGGCCTCAGCAGGCTATTACTGAAATACACGTGCTATATCATAAACTATGATATAAATAGGGAGGTCCTATTAACATGTTTAGTTTTAAAGGACACCTTCCTGCCTTTAGTCTCATTCATGAGCAGTATTCGTTTTCTTCTAACATCCAGAAGTCTGCACAACGTGTTTCATAGTTTGTAACAAGCCTTTGACAGGTAAACATAACATGACCGAAAAAGCAAAAAAAAAGCAAAAAAAAAAAGAGAGAGAGAGAGAGAGAGAGAGAGTGTTGACATAAGAAGAGAAAATGCTCTCAATTATGGAGACAGGCAAATGGTTCATTTATGTTTGATGTGTGTTTATTCCTCCCTAAATATCGTCGGTGAAGTTTGCCATGCACGTCAGATTTTCCTGCGCATTTTTATACCTCTGCCAACAGAGAGAGAAAAAAAATCACATTCTAACAGACAGCTGGTGCTTAGAATACAGTTGAATAACTATTAAAAAACAGATGATATTTAGATGATAGTTCAGTCTAACACATGTGCCAGTGAACCATTAAACGTCTGTGAAACTATGCAGTTATGAAACGTAACTTTAACCTCAGCCAAACCGATTTGCTCAGTTGTAAATAAAACAGCGAAGTAAACGTGACCCGACAGACAGAACCTGAGTGAATGAAGTCCAGCGTTTAACCACTGAGAGCTAAAACTCAGCTGAGGTTTGAAAGCTGTGTGCTGGTGATTGGACATCAGCCGCTGATAAAGCTGGCTCGCGTATAAAGTGCTCTGTAAGGAAACAAGCTCCAGCAGCTCTGCGCTCGGGGAAAATACTATATTTACTTATCTTGTGCAGAAAAATGCGCTGACATTGCGTTATATCGAGCACCGGCTGCCCAGTTAAACTGTGACTATCACCAGGTAACGTAGGCGTGTTTCTTGAATTAGCAGCAGGTGTTAAACAGCTGACAGATGAGGAGGAGGATGCATGCAGGTAAACTGAGGGTCTGCTGAGCTGATCGCTGGTTTCGTGAGAAAAATGTCAGCTCGTTCTTTATGTTACAGAAGCACAGAGACACAAGACCAGGCGGAAAGAGACGATCGTTCGGTGAAAATGAGAATCTGCGAATGCAACATGTGGAACACGGAGAGTGGAATATGTAAACAAACCGGTTAATGTACCCCCTCGGTGCACTCTGCATGCTAACTGTTAGCAGAGCTAGTGAAATCTCTGAAAACATCTGAGCACTTTTGCAAACATGTTCTATGTTGACAACCTGACCAGACGTACGTCGCGACATTCGCGGCTAAAACACTGTTAAAAGTGTAGCTGGTGACAGAAAAACGGGGTATTTTAAAACTACACCACCACCATTGCTGCCTGTGATTTGATCTGCATTCTGGGATAACTGGCTGCCCCAAGTCTACACAAGCAATCGATTATCTAGGATCGACCTGTTTTGACTTACTTTGCACGGCAACCAATCAAATGTTAGAGAAGCTGCATGGGCAGCGTTAACCCCGCCCCCTGAGTTTGATGGGTGAGGCTGACAGATAAAATTATTTCATGACGAGAGCCAGGCGCCAGGACTGCCAAAATGAAATAAATAAATATATCATTAAATAATTAATTAAATGTGTCAATAATTAATTAAATGTGTCAATAATTAATTAAAATGTGAAATACATAAATAATTAATTAAATGTGTCAATAATTAATTAATTAAATGTGTCAATAATTAATTAAAATGTGAAATACATAAATAATTAATTAAATGTGTCAATAATTAATTAATTACATGTGTCATAACTATTTATTTAATTAATTAATTCCAATTTTAATTAATTATTGACACATTTAATTAATTATTTAATGGTGTATTTAATTAATTCATTATGGCAGTCCTGGCGTTCCATAGGCGAACAGGGCAAGTGCGAACTGAAAAACATAAACTGGAAAACTACAAAAACTGTGACGAGACTGATGACTGACGAGACTTGGAGGAAAACCAGATGACGTGACAACGAACAAAGGAAGACAGGACTTAAATACACAGGAGGTGATCAGGGGAAGCTCAATGCAGTGGTGATGGGATTCATAATTAACTCGTTTGGTGCTCACAAACGTCTTTTGACGAAATGTCAGGGAACTTGACAAGAATTGGAAGCACCTAAAAATAATGTGACCCTTCTTATTATAATATTGCGCCAATCTGATTGCACTTGATACAGTTTTTATTGCATCATCCTGGTAGTCAGTGGAGCTTGAAAAGAACAGGACTTCAAGTTTCCTGAAGACATTTTACCTCTCAATTTGCAAAAAATAAATAATAAAGACTCAACAGCACTAAGTCCTGTTGCTTTTAAATCTGTTTTCACCTGTTTAGCAGGAGTGGAGCAGGTGGAGGTTTGCCTGGTGCCGCAGCAGTCATGTCAGTGGGCGGGATCCGGGGGTTTCTCTGTGAATGTCACATTCCCGTGGCAGCGTGCTTGGTGCTCGCTCAGATTTGAAATTTAATTTTTCACTGTAGAAAGAGGTTTTCTTCCCACACAGAGTGTACAGCCAACGCTAATGTTTTTGTCACTTTTTAAAACTCAAAGTAGTGTGAGTACTTCCAAGCTTTAAACGCTGCATGGTCGTACTCTCTCCTGCACTCCATATTATCCATTGTTGATCTGTTGCTGCCACGAACGTCGCACACTTGTATGTCATTGTCATGAGACACTCTCACAAACAAAAACACCGTTTAGTAACGCGGCAACGAGGCATGCTTATGGGAAAGTAAATAATCTAACTACTTTTTTCAATAGCAATCCCTTACTTTACTCGTTACTTGCAAAAAGTAATCGGATCACGCGTTACTGCCCAGTTTGCAATAAGAAATATTTCTGTTCTATCTTCCAATGTACACATACACAAAAAACTCAGCAAGGCTTTAGCTGTCAGTTGAGAAAGCATCACGCCAAAAACATCAGTTTAGACTTGAGAAACAGAAGTTTTGATTCTTAGAGAGCACAGTGGAGTAAGAAGTATCATCAGAATAAGACTGGTAGAGGTAAGAAGCAAAAGATTTTAAGCACTGCCTCCATAAGACTAAAGTGAACTTTACTGATGAGGCCCAAAGTCATGATTTCATCCTGTTGAATATTTGTGAACTGAAGACCGAGGTCCGTGCCGAAGACGATCAAATCTGGAGGAGATTCGTCAAAGAAGAATGAGCTGGGATTGCTCTGGAGACATGTGTGAGACTTCTGCAGGATGTTATCCAGCAAAAAACGATACGCAATTAACTGTTATCATCAAGGGGGAAATTTTTACATTTGTCATGTTATTCCACAAATTTTATTAATATTTTAAGTAGACATTTTAGAAACATGTTATAAAACGTCATGGAATTTGTTTTTACAGTGCAGTGTGTTCACTGCGGCTCTATCAGATTTTCAAGGGTACTCTGTGTGTGTGTGACATGTCAGTGATGTACTTTCAGGTGTCCGGAGAGTGTTCGTCCAGACACTGTCAGGCCATGTTTGCTGCCATGCAAGAGAGACTGTATTGTCACCCCATACAGTGATTGGAGCCCCTGTCCATCAACATGTCAGACAGGTAGACTCAATGCACACATTAATGCTTCTAACAATGTTAGAAAGGCCACAAACAGCTAGAATGTGCCTGTGTAAAGCAGGCACCCCAATAATAAAGCACAGAAAATATGCAAATCATTATTTTAGCTGTAGCAGATAAATAATAGCAGCAGCCTCTTCACTGAAAAGGAATATCAGATATCCCAGTTCTCTTGTGAATGTTGTGACATGTTTAATAAATGCCATGGAAATGCAGTGTTTCCAACAAAGGTTCCCAGGGTTAGATCCCCAAGGATGTTACCTAGTGGAGATGGCAAGCAATGTGGGAGAAGACGTTTGACGGTCCAGTTATTGTTGTTTTTGTTCTTTTTAAGCTAAGGTATGATGAAAAAGGATTGTATAGCAATAGTGAGGGCTATTTCGGTGGAGGCTGACACTTCTGATGTAGCAGCTGCTTGAATTCAATTCAGTTCAGTTTTATTTATAAAGCATCAAATCACAACATCAGTCCCCTCAAGGTGCTTTATGTTGAAGAGTCTTTACTTTATATTGCAAGGTAAAGACTCTACAATATAAAGGAACACGTTTCCATGTAAATATGGAAAACCAGAAGCCAAACAAATGAGTCACTCTATTTCATTCAATCTGCACACAATTACAATTTCATCTCTCTTATACAAGCTTTAATAGAGTGAATGTTCCAGAGACATCTTTGTTGTTTGTTACATTCTCAGATCCTTTGGTCACGTTGAAGTGTGCATTAGGCTTATAAGATGCTTACTTTTAGAAGTAATAGTCCAGCTGCAATGCATCCCCAAACCATTTTCATCCTTAATAAATTATCCAAACTCAATCACTGGAAGCTTTAACCTGATATAGTAATCCTGATAGAAGTGGACTTCCTGTAAAGTCAATTATCTCTAACTGTCAGGTTGTATTGGATACCATAGAGCAGATAATGGAGATGACATTTGAGATTTCACTCAATTATATTAGCCTCTCCTTGAAATGCTGTCTTCTTGTACAGGGTGAGGAATTACATAAGTATGCTAGGTAGGCTAATAATATATATTCTCAGAGGACACCAAATACATCCTATCTTTAAAAACAGCTTTAAAGATTCAGGGCATATTGGTAACTTCAGTTTAAAGGATCAGTGTGTTCTCTTGTGGCTTCCCCTAGGCGGTAACACTAAAAAGAAGCAATACAGGAAACGGCTCATCATCCAGTTGCCAGCTAACGGAGGACAGGACTGCCCTGAGGTACTGACCCAGGAAAGAGATTGTGAGACTCCCTCTGTCTGTGAGGGATACAGGTATGGGTCCTGTTCAATAAATACGCATTCATGCATGAATTTAAATGCTATTAATATAGTTTAAATCATTGTACACCGCTCAGACACAAAAATATAAGGAATACTTTTTAGATCAGAGAATAGCATCAAGTCAGTTAAACATCTGGGATGTTGATTTGGTAACTGCATTAAAGGGGCAACAATGAGAAACCCCCAAACAGGAATGGTTTTACACGTGGAGGACATTGACATTTTTTCCATCCTCATCATTTCTGTGTTTTTTCACTCAGTGTCAGAAGAGAACCACTTTTGTATCAGTACTAATGTTATGTTGAAATGTGTGTGAAAAAGCCATTCTTAACATGAACAACCGAAATGAACATGGCTCAGGAAAAGGCAGACGACTACTGTGTCTGGTTGGGGGTGAGCGGAGGGAGACGAGACAAAGGACTCATTGTGAAAATCCAGACTACATATTACAAATATTTATTAATTAAAGAAAAGGGTTTGCAAAGAAGAAATGCATCTTGAGCTGGTTCTACGGTAAGCTGAAGGCTCTGCCTCCTGTTTTGCTTTTAAATATCCCAGGAACCACAAGCGAGCCTGTGGGCTGCGAGAAAAGTGCTCTATTGGGGTGATATGGTACTATGAGTTCATAAAGATAGGATGGGGCCTGATTATTTGAGACCTTTAGTCCCCGTCAGCACACTCGCTGCATCGTTTTGGATCAACTGAAGGCTTTCCAGGGAGTTTTTAGGAAATCCTGATAATAATAATAAAACGATAAATGCATGAACTATTTTTTCAGCATAACTCTGAGAAAAGATGATTCTAATTTTACAGATACTCTGCAACGACGAGTGCAATATCTCCAAAATTAGAATCTAAAATTAGAAACACTCCAGCATAAGATAAGCATTTTTATTGTCAGTGTTGCAGAAGCAATGAATAATAGTGTAGCAGCATAAAGCCAAAATATTATTTACATTATATAAATATAATGTCAGAATCGACTCCAGCATCCCTTACAGTGCTGCAGAAGGTCAAGGTAATGCCAGCAAGTGTCTGTCATTTTTATGATCCAGTGCAAAAACCTAGAGGCCATCCAGGTCTTTATATCTTTAAGACATTCCTACAGTTTAACTATATTATGAACACAGGGATAACACACACATATTAATTAAAATGTCTCACACATGTCTCAGCCTCCACCACTCTCAGCACTGGAGCCCCCCAGGGGTGTGTTCTGAGCCCCCTGCTGTACTCTCTGTACACATATGACTGTGTGGCCACTACCAGCTCCACCACCATCATTAAGTTTGCTGACGACACCGTCGTGATGGGCCTGATCTCTGACAACAACGAGACGGCCTACCTGAAGGAGATTAGGAATCTGGAGAACTGGTGTCAGAGGAACAACCTCCTTCTAAACGTCAGTAAGACAAAGGAGCTGATAGTGGACTTCAGCACTAAGCAGGAGAGGAACTACCAGACCCCCGTCATCAACGAGTGCCCAGTGGAGAGAGTGGACAGCTTCAAATACCTCGGAGTTCACATCACGACCAGGAAGGCTAGGCAGCGCCTGTATCACCTACGACAACTGAGGAAGTTCAGGGTCTCTCCAAAGATCCTCAGGATTTTCTATACAGGTGCTGTGGAGATCGTGGTTTGGGAACAGCTGTGTGAAGGACCAAAAAGCTCTCCAGAGAGTGATCCGTACAGCAGAACGCTGCTGCAGGATTGCTCTCCCCCCGCTTCAGGACACCTACACCAGGAGATGCCGGACTAGAGCAGCGCAGATACTGAAGGACCCGTCCCATCCTGGCAACAAACTGTTCCAACTTCTGCAATCTGGTAGAAGGTTCAGCATCATCCGGGCAAGGACAGAGAGACTCAAGAGGAGCTTCTATCCCCAAGCCATCCGTGCCCTAAACACACACACCCGCCCTCTCACATCATCTATAATTGACTGAGTCAGGACTTCCAGACACTAAACCAAGGCACAATGTACATTTCAATTCCTTTAATTTTAAATATGTTTATATTGTCTATCCTGTAAAATAGTCAGATGTCTATTCATATTAATGTACAGAATTCACCTGCTTGCTGCTACTACTGCACATTCACCCAATGTATATACTAGAGATGGCACGATACCACTTTTTTATGTCCGATACCGATATCATAAATTTGGATATCTGCCGATACCGATATGAATCCGATATAGTGTTTTTTTAATCAACAAAACTGTTTTTTTTAAATATCTTGCTGCATTTTGTATAAGTTCATACTCAAGTTTAAAACAACAACTACACTAAAGCTATTCTGTTACACCTGTATGCAAAAAAAAATATTTCATAGTTCAGCAATACTGATCAATCTAATAAACTTAAACCTACACCATCCTCCCTATTCTGGTATTTTAAAGAGTACTTAGCGTAAATATTAAGCAACCTAACTAATAGGGTTCCAACTCCCAGCAACAACAAAAATAAAAAAATAAAAAAATGGGGAACCACCCCCCACCTCATGATGCTTAATCAACGTAATCAACCTTAATTTGATGCAGTGTGAAAAAAAAATGCACAGAAATCAATTATTTTTCAAGAAATATTAAATAGATTCAACATCTTTCTTCAACAAAATTGCAGACTGCACAGATGGTACCTTCCCAAAGGAAAAAGTACTATAGCTTACTAGGGTGTATATATTAGACTTAATAGTTACTATATACAGTAATTGACTTCTATTCATTTTACATCAAATTAAAACTTTGGGTGTCAGATAATTATTTATTAAAAGCTTGACATTTGAAATGAGAATAAGAAAGAAAAGTATGTCTTTGTGCCCCCTTTTCCCTGTTAATGCCCTATCGGCCCCCCTGGCTAAACTTTGCTAGATGCGCCCCTGCACAGTTACCAGCGTCAGCTACATAGAAAACGATCCTGGAGTAGAAAGTAATATTAAATACATTCTAACAACAGCTGATCAAGCTTAAACGTGCTGCTGTTGTTCAGCCGCTGGTTTCCTCTTTCTGGTGCAAAGTGGGCCAAAAGCAAACAAGAGAGACGGACTCGCAACAGAAAAGCCGATCAGCTGATCATTAAGCAGTTTCATGATTGAAGTAGCAGCAAGAGGAGGCAGTCGCTCCATATATCGCTTGTTAAGCTTAACACAGGAATGCTTTACAAACATTCAGAGATGGACTTACACACTTGCTTTACTTCTCTCGGGGATAACTTTGTCGGAGATTAAATGCCGGGTTGCTAGCGAAGCTCCACATGCTATCCAGACCACCGACAGGTCCCGCATGCCACAGCCGCTCTATCACGTGATGCATACTGCTCCGACTGCTAACGTTCTGAGGTGAGTTACGGCGTGTTGCAAGTTTTGTGAGGTGCTTTCGTGATATTTAATGGATCGGATTACATGTTTTATTTTTCTCCGATATCCGATCCAGTAATTTAGGTCAGTATCGGACCGATACCGATACGTAATATCGGATCGGTCCATCTCTAGTATATACTACATATATATATATATAAAAAAAAAAAAAACACCCAGCACGCCCCTGCGGGCGGTTTATCCTTCAAGCTCGGGTCCTCTACCAGAGGCCTGGGAGCTTGAGGGTCCTGCGCAGTATCTTAGCTGTTCCCAGGACTGCGCTCTTCTGGACAGAGATCTCCGATGTTGTTCCCGGGATCTGCTGGAGCCACTCGCCTAGCTTGGGAGTCACCGCACCTAGTGCTCCGATTACCACGGGGACCACCGTTACCTTCACCCTCCACATCCTCTCGAGCTCTTCTCTGAGCCCTTGGTATTTCTCCAGCTTCTCGTGTTCCTTCTTCCTGATATTGCTGTCATTCGGAACCGCTACATCGATCACTACGGCCGTCTTCTTCTGTTTGTCTACCACCACTATGTCCGGTTGGTTAGCCACCACCATTTTGTCCGTCTGTATCTGGAAGTCCCACAGGATCTTAGCTCGGTCATTCTCCACCACCCTTGGGGGCATCTCCCATTTTGACCTCGGGACTTCCAGGTTATACTCGGCACAGATGTTCCTGTACACTATGCCGGCCACTTGGTTATGGCGTTCCATGTATGCCTTGCCTGCTAGCATCTTGCACCCTGCTGTTATGTGCTGGATTGTTTCTGGGGCATCTTTACACAGCCTGCACCTGGGGTCTTGCCTGGTGTGATAGACCCCAGCCTCTATGGATCTTGTACTCAGAGCTTGTTCTTGTGCTGCCATGATTAGTGCCTCTGTGCTGTCTTTCAGTCCAGCTTTGTCCAGCCACTGGTAGGATTTCTGGATATCAGCCACCTCCTCTATCTGCCGGTGGTACATACCGTGCAGGGGCCTGTCCTTCCATGATGGTTCCTCGTCTCCCTCCTCTTTCTTGGGTTTCTGCTGCCTGAGGTATTCACTGAGCACTCGGTCAGTTGGGGCCATCTTCCCAATGTATTCTTGGATGTTCCTTGTCTCATCCTGGACTGTGGTGCTGACACTCACCAGTCCCCGGCCCCCTTCCTTCCGCTTAGCGTACAGCCTCAGGGTGCTGGACTTGGGGTGAAACCCTCCATGCATGGTCAGGAGCTTTCTTGTCTTTATGTCAGTGGCTTCTATCTCCTCCTTTGGCCAGCTTATTACCCCAGCAGGGTACCTGATCACGGGCAGGGCGTATGTGTTGATGGCCCGGATCTTGTTCTTACCATTCAGCTGACTCCTCAGGACTTGCCTGACCCTCTGCAGGTACTTGGTGGTTGCAGCCTTTCTAGCGGCCTCTTCATGGTTCCCATTTGCCTGCGGGATCCCAGGTACTTGTAACTGTCCTCTATGTCTGCAATGTTGCCTTCTGGTAGTTCAATCCCCTCAGTTCTGACTACCTTCCCTCTCTTTGTTACCATCCGACTACACTTCTCCAGTCCGAACGACATTCCAATGTCATTGCTGTATAGCCTGGTAGTGTGGATCAGTGAATCGATGTCTCGTTCACTCTTGGCATACAGCTTGATGTCGTCCATGTACAGGAGGTGGCTGACAACTGCTCCGTTCCGTAGTCGGTATCCGTAGCCAGTCTTGTTAATGATCTCACTGAGGGGGTTCAGGCCTATGCAGAACAGCAGTGGGGACAGAGCATCTCCTTGGTAGATCCCGCACTTGATGGTAACTTGTGCTATGGGCTTGGAGTTGGCCTCTAGTGTCGTACGCCACATCCCCATTGAGTTCCTGATGAAGGCTCTTAGGGTCCCATTGATCTTGTACAATTCTAGGCATTCCAGTATCCAGCTGTGGGGCATTGAGTCATAGGCCTATATATATATATATATATATATATATATATATATATATATATATATATATATAATGTTTTTCCTCTACACCCCCCCCCCCCCCCCCAAGTTTTTTGCACATGGCGAGGAGCGTGTCAGGCTACATTTCACTGTGTGTTATACTTGTATAACTATGCATGTGACAAATAAAGAACCTTGACCTTGACCACGCAGGACCTGTCATGGTCCTGTCACATCAACACCGTGGTGAAAAAGGCTTGTCAGCGTCTCTACCACCTCAGACGCTTGAGAGACTTCCGACTGCCCTCCAAGGTGCTCAGGAACTTTTACTCGTGCACCATAGAGAGCATCCTGACGGGAAACATCTTAACCTGGTTCGGGAACAGCACCATGCAGGACAGACGAGCTCTACAGAGGGTTGTGCGGTCAGCTGAGCGCACCATCCGCTCCGAGCTCCCTGACCTGCACTCAATCTACAGCAGGCGGTGCTGGACCAAGGCCAGGAAGATCGTGAAGGACCTCAGCCATCCCAACAACAGACTGTTCTCTCTGTTGAGGTCAGGAAAGCGATTCCGCTCCCTGAAGACCAACACAGAGAGACTGAGGAGGAGCTTCTTCCCGCAGGCGATACGGTCTCTCAATCACATCACCACACAGTACTGACCCACACATATGGTTCTTACACACACACTGGACTTTCTGGACTTTGGTTTCACTTCATCACTTAAATCACTTTAAGCATATTTGCACTGCACAAGACATAATGTGGATTGCACAACACTGGTCACTATATTCTTCATTTCCAGTTAATACTTGTACAGCTGCTGTTATTGTGTATATATTTATTTATATTTATATTTCTTCATACATTCTTATATAGTTTTATACTGTGTATTGTGTATTTTGTTGTACAGTTATTTTATTTTCAACTTTAATTTATATATTTTATCTTATTCTTTCCCAGTTAAATTTACCCTTCATTCTAATTTGTGTTGTACAGTTATTTCATTTTTAACCTTAATTTTTTATATTTTATTCCTTCCTAGTTAAATTTACACTGTATAATTTTTCATATTTATTTCCTATCTTATTCATAGCCTTTTCCTTTTTTGTTTTCTTTAGGTCACGAGCAGTTGTCTAAGCATTTCACTGCATATCGTACTGTGTATGACTGTGTACCTGACAAATAAAATTTGAATTTGAATTTGATTTGATTTAAAAGGTGATTATCGTCTGCAAAGCAATGAAAATATATGCTGTGCCTTTGAATGATATTGCACAATCACAGAAATTAATCCACTGTCAGAGGCTACAAGAAGATGATTTGACCTTCACTAAAGCTGTTTCTGTACAGTTATGAATTCTGAATGAAACGCTTCAAATAAACTGTTCCTCTGCAGGTGAGCAGTTAACTGGTTTCATACTATTCGTTTATGAAAGTTTGAGATGAAAGGAAAGTTGGAGATTGGTGCAGCTAAGCCACCCGATGGCTTTTTAAGTCATGGATTAATTACTGCCACCGTAAAGGCTCGTGGTATGTAGCACATTAATATAGAAAGATTAATCATATTAATCTGATAACATGTATTATCTGATAATACAATATATTTAAAGCCAGTCTAATAAAGTTTGTTAATCCTAACTTCATGTTTATAATAAACAAGCTCCTTCACAAGTTAAAAAAAAAGTGGGGGGACTTTTTTCACTCAGTACCTGCCAAAAACTAATATGCAGTGCTGAATATGATGTTTTCTTGTGATGGCCAAATATGAACAAAGTAGACCAGTTCAATTTTCATTCAAGACTTCTCTTATAATGTGTTTTTTGACAGATGGAAAACTCATAAGTGGCGAAGATGTCAATTGGTTCCATGGTCTGTTCGTGAGGGCAGTCCTGGGAATCAAGAGCTCTGTGGGCTAGGTCTCCAGGTTCGAGGTGAGGACAATCTCACACACACACACACACACACACACACACACACACACACACACACACACACACACACACACACACACACACAGAGTAACGCGGTAAGGGACCAGAGTGCCTGACTGCAGCTTCACAGATAATGAGCTAATCAGGAGTGTTTCGACTATGGAGCCTGAGTGTGTGAATAAAACACAGGAAAAAGAAATAGAGCTCGATATATACATTTATATATATATATATATATATATATATATATACTATATATATTACTAAGTGTTTTATCCTATTGTAAAGTGTCCTTGGGTGACTTGAAAGGCGCTCATAAATAAAATTTATTATTATTATTATTATTAAACACCCAGCACGCCCCTGCGGGCGGTTTATCCTTCAAGCTCGGGTCCTTTACCAGAGGCCTGGGAGCTTGAGGGTCCTGCGCAGTATCTTAGCTGTTCCCAGGACTGCGCTCTTCTGGACAGAGATCTCCGATGTTGTTCCCGGGATCTGCTGGAGCCACTCGCCTAGCTTGGGAGTCACCGCACCTAGTGCTCCGATTACCACGGGGACCACCGTTACCTTCACCCTCCACATCCTCTCGAGCTCTTCTCTGAGCCCTTGGTATTTCTCCAGCTTCTCGTGTTCCTTCTTCCTGATATTGCTGTCATTCGGAGCCGCTACATCGATCACTACGGCCGTCTTCTTCTGTTTGTCTACCACCACTATGTCCGGTTGGTTAGCCACCACCATTTTGTCCGTCTGTATCTGGAAGTCCCACAGGATCTTAGCTCGGTCATTCTCCACCACCCTTGGGGGCATCTCCCATTTTGACCTCGGGACTTCCAGGTTATACTCGGCACAGATGTTCCTGTACACTATGCCGGCCACTTGGTTATGGCGTTCCATGTATGCCTTGCCTGCTAGCATCTTGCACCCTGCTGTTATGTGCTGGATTGTCTCTGGGGCATCTTTACACAGCCTGCACCTGGGGTCTTGCCTGGTGTGATAGACCCCAGCCTCTATGGATCTTGTGCTCAGAGCTTGTTCTTGTGCTGCCATGATTAGTGCCTCTGTGCTGTCTTTCAGTCCAGCTTTGTCCAGCCACTGGTAGGATTTCTGGATATCAGCCACCTCCTCTATCTGCCGGTGGTACATACCGTGCAGGGGCCTGTCCTTCCATGATGGTTCCTCGTCTCCCTCCTCTTTCTTGGGTTTCTGCTGCCTGAGGTATTCACTGAGCACTCGGTCAGTTGGGGCCATCTTCCCAATGTATTCTTGGATGTTCCTTGTCTCATCCTGGACTGTGGTGCTGACACTCACCAGTACCCGGCCCCCTTCCTTCCGCTTAGCGTACAGCCTCAGGGTGCTGGACTTGGGGTGAAACCCTCCATGCATGGTAAGGAGCTTTCTTGTCTTTATGTCAGTGGCTTCTATCTCCTCCTTTGGCCAGCCTATTACCCCAGCAGGGTACCTGATCACGGGCAGGGCGTACGTGTTGATGGCCCGGATCTTGTTCTTACCATTCAGCTGACTCCTCAGGACTTGCCTGACCCTCTGCAGGTACTTGGTGGTTGCAGCCTTTCTAGCGGCCTCTTCATGGTTCCCATTTGCCTGCAGGATCCCCAGGTACTTGTAACTGTCCTCTATGTCTGCAATGTTGCCTTCTGGTAGTTCAATCCCCTCAGTTCTGACTACCTTCCCTCTCTTTGTTACCATCCGACTACACTTCTCCAGTCCGAACGACATTCCAATGTCATTGCTGTATAGCCTGGTAGTGTGGATCAGTGAATCGATGTCTCGTTCACTCTTGGCATACAGCTTGATGTCATCCATGTACAGGAGGTGGCTTATATATATATATATATATATATATATATATATATACATATATTATGGTATTGAGGAATGTATACAGATGTACAACAAAATAAATATATGCATATATATCACACACAAAAATAATGGGCTGACCAGGGCTTTGATGGCGGGAGTATAACCTGACCTAAGCAAGGTCAAAAAACATAAATTATCATTCGATATTAAACTGAAACAGCGTTCTACTGTCATGATAAAACAAATAAATCCATAAATTACAAAGTCAAATCATTAATGCCATATTTCATACAATAACCAATAACCAAACAAATTACAACATCTAATTCTTATAATGATATTCATTCAAAATAATATAGAAAAACATTCACATGGGTCTCATCAAAGTAAAGTAAATTAGCAATAAAGCTAATAAACATTATCCAAGGTTAATTAAATATTTACAAAACAGATTTAATTCTAGGTGTTGCGCAACAAGTTTCAATATTCTAAAATAAATTTAACGCAATTCAAAACTCCCATAGGCCATTTTGGCATTTAATCAGAGTAACAAAAGACATCCAAAACGAACAAAACTGAAATCAAATCACTCAACTCTTGAAACGTTAATTTAACATTCGGCCATAGTGGGAAAAAAACAAAAACAACAATATTCAATAAATGTAACCAGTAACTGCACTTAGTTGTCACCAGACTAGCGTTAGCTTACCGGTGTTTTAAATGCGCGACCGCGTTCCTCCGCCACTGCCTCGTTTGAGTTTAAATATAACAGTGTAGAGAAAGAGTTGAGCGCGCACAGGCAGAAATGTTAAGAGCGCGAGCAACACATTGCAAGCAAGCGCAAATGCAAAAACCGAGCGAGAGGGGCTGCTCTTGTGTGTGTGTGTGTGGATAATAGCAAACACTGAAATACATTTTTTGCAATTTTGTTCACTTTTCTTCGCTCAAAATACATTTCTTCTCAAAATGCAACTCGTGCACCTGCAATTTTTTTTTATGTGCGCTCAGAATAGTGGCACAAAAATAACACCATAGTAAATGGACTGATTCTTATATAGCGCTTTTCTACTCTCCTGGAGCACTCAAAGCACTTTATACAAGACTCCGCATTCACCCATGCACTGTTTTCTATGCCTTTCAGTGCTTTCTAATTAATTAACTAACATTCATACTTGATGGATGCATCGGAGAGTGAGTGGGGGTTAGTATCTTGCCCAAGGATTTTTGACATGCAGAGTGGGGGAGCCAGGGATCAAACCACCAACCTTCCAATCAGTAGATGGCCTGCTTTACCTCCTGAGCTACAGCCACCTCAAGTCTGGGTCATTTGCTCTGTCATGTCACCCCCCCCCCCCCCCCCCCCCCCAACATATATAATTAGCTTCACATAACAAATACTTTTCAAGATACTTGTTTTTCGTTTGCAATTTGGTCCAGGCCTAAAAACAATCAAAGTGAATCACAATGTGTAATTTGAGACAGATCAAAAAAGTGTGCAACTATTGGGTAAATGAAATATGAAAAAATGTAGGCCATCCTCACCTGCCAGAGACAACTAGTGATAACTTCTGAATAGTATATAATATTAAACAGGTCACAATAAAATAATGTAAATTAAAACATGTAGAACTTTTTTTGCATGAAATTCTTTGGCACAAAAATTAAGAAAATAGTATTTTCATTAAACTTTTATTGTACTGTATTTTTCAGACCATAAGGCGCATCGGATTATAAGGCGCACTAAGCGAAACAAAACAGTCAAATAAGTCACACTTTACTCAACTCATTCTTCTTGCTTCCTCCACTTCCATACCATTGATTCATTAATGTTGAATTCTCTGGCTGCTGCTCTATTCCCATGTTGTTGCAGTATATTAATGACTAACCTCGTATTGTGGATGGATTATCTCAGTTGTTCTCCTGACTGAAGTTTGGTCTGTTTACAGCATCCTGCCATGCAATTGCATTTGTCCCTAACCATTGGGAACCCTCATGTTATCCAGTGGAAAAAAGTTAGCATTCATCCTCCAGTGTTGGCTAGCGACACATAGCTGTGTCGCTAGCCAACACATAGCACATCATTATATACAGTAGCAGCTAGCCCAACTTCAGTAACCCTACAAACGTCACTGCTGTTTAGTTTTCTGTCTTCATTTATATTGGAAGTGATAGCAGAGCTGTACGTTTGAATTTTTTCAGAAAACTCTCAGTCAAACATGCTATATCATGTTTAGGTGGAAGCTAGGGAGCTAACGTCCTGCTAACTTCTAATTCCGTTAAATTTAATAAATTCTGTTTTCATGGATGCCTAGATGTTAAACTTAATTGTTACACCTGGTAAAGCAGCAATGATGATCATTTTATTAAAGATGAAAGAATTTAGACAGTTTTTAACTCTCAGTGATGCTGCAGTGTTCGTTTGACTTTGGGACCTGAAGAGATGGAGTTTAGGACCCAGATTACTCCGCGAGGCTCCTGATCACTGTAGCCATTATGCTCTGAAAATCCATCAAGTGGTGCGGCTTCTTAGCTTACCAAAGTCGTATTAAAACATTTTTTGACAGATTTTTAAGTGCTGTGTACCACATAAAATCAGTTCGAGATCAGTAAGCACAACCAGAATTCATACATAAGGTGCACTGTTGATTTTTGAGGAAATTAAAGGATTTTAAGTGTGCCTTAGAGTGTGGAAAGTACGGTAGTTAGTAATTATCATTTTATAGTAGTGTGTATTCAAATATGGGAATTTTTAAGAGAGCTTGAATTTTTTTTTGTATTTTAGCCAATACTTAGAATTGGCAGGCACTAAAAAAGGAAAAAAAGAGTTCATCCACCTGATTACCTCCACCTAAGCCTCAGCCTCCTTGGCACTGCCCCTCAGACACCACACCCCTGCCACAAGGCCATTGCCAGTTTCCGGTTATCTTCACCCCGATCCTTGGGAGGTACCTGTAATGGTATACTCTGGCTCTCTTCCACAGCGTGTTTTTTGTCCTGTCTCCCCAACCAGTCATGGTAGATGGCCCCGCCCCTCCCTGAGCCTGGTTCTGCTGGAGGTTTCTTCCTGTTAAAAGGGAGTTTTTCCTTCCCACTGTTGCCAAAGTATTTGCTCATAGTGGGTCATATGATTGTTGGGTTTTTCTCTGTATGTATTATTTTATTGTAGGACTGTGCCTTGATGCAAATGATGTTGTGATTTGAGGCTGTATAAATAAAACTGAACTGAATTTAATTAAATTGATTAGTACAATACTACCCTTTTACTGTGCACCCTTTCACTTACATAAGGCATAACCACGTTGTGGATATTAAACAGAAGTAAACAGAGATAACCTTAAATAGGGACAATTTGAAAAAAAAAAGTTCTGCTATCAAATCATGCCCATCTATATTTTTCTGTGACAGCTGGAAAGATAGTATATTGGGGTAGGTTTAAAAAGATTTTAGTTTGAATAAAACGATATTATTTCATAAAATCCTGAATCGATTTTTAAATATAAATGTATTTTGCCAGAAATGCCAGAATCTCAGGTTAAAGCTCACAAAACTGTGTCAACAACCACCAAACAGCTAAAACAGCAAATGATTAAAGAGCAGGTAAACGGATTCTGCACAAAGATGTAAACACAAAGCGTGGATCGTTCTCCCGACGGCACGTACACAGAAATGCCATCAGGTGCTGAAAGCAGACGTCTCATAGATTCTGAAGCTGCAGGTTTCATCACTCTGACCAAAATTCACTGAACCAGCAGCAAACGAAGATCCAAACTACGCTTCACGTTTGAGAAACATTGTCATAAATTACCTCTGACTTTGGCTTTTACTTCCTGCACAGCTCTCTCTCAGTGTACTCAGCGACCAGTTTACCATCAAAATTTCTGTTTTCTGCATTATTTGCTTGCTTCTTACACACCGGTCTACCGTTTTGTACAGCACCGTCGCCCGCAGTTTCTTGGTTGTTGTGGGGGGGTTTTTCAAAAATGACCCTGGACAAGAAAAGCCTCATTTCTGCTGTTCAGTACTGAAAAAAACTTTACAAATGATGCTAAATTGCAAAATGCTTAGCTGTGTCTCTAATCAGACCTCTATAACTTTGCTCTGCTTCACTTCAGCAGCATCAGGTAATGTTCATATGTTGATATTGTTCATGGTTTTCTTCCCTTTTTCTATCTACTGAAGATTATCTGCTATAAAACGCCAGGCTAGGAAAGTCTTCTTCATGTTGTTCTGAGTTTTATCCTCACTTACTTTGACACAGAGGCCTCTGATGTGATGCTCACACCTCTGATGAAGTCTCACAAGTGTCAGCGTTGTTTTTACACATAGATATAAAAACATGGACATGTACTGATAAATGATCAGAATTATAATATTTCTGACTGACTGAGTCAAAATTGAACTGAATCTAATCAGTTACAGAAATCGAAATTGATACCCAACCCTGATAGTCTATATAGTACTCTAAATCTGATAATCAAATCCATTAGTGATTAGTTCACATTATCGGTTATACAAATGGTGTGCTATTACAAAAACAAAAGTCCATTTTTGCAGAACTCCATTCCTTTTTTTCCCCTTCTTTAGCTGTTTCATGCCGAAAGCAGGATGGTGGACAAGCAGACATTGAAGCTTGTCTTAAGTTTGCTAGCTCCATGCCATCTCTCACCCAACCCTGTCAGGTGCCCTGCCAGGAAGACTGTCAACTCAGCAGCTGGTCCAAGTTTTCTTCCTGTACAGCAGATTGTGTGGGTGTCAGAACCCGCAAAAGGATGCTAGTAGGTGAGTCGCCGACTTCCAGAAACTTTAGTGTTAGTTCAGCAGATGTAAAAACATATTGTTACTTTTCTGTGTGTGAAGGTCACCACATTGAACCCTTCACTAGTGGAAAATTCTTATAGATGATAACCGTTTATCTTTTGCTGTTTCTGCAGGGAGAAGTAGAAAGCATGACCAGTGTAAAAACAACCAGCTGTATCCCCTAAGTGAGACCCAGTACTGCCCATGTAATAAATACAATGCCCAGCCTGTAGGCAACTGGTCGGACTGTATCCTATCCGAGGGTGGTCGCATGGAGGGTCAGCTTGGCATGAAGATACAAGGTGACATCAAAGAGTGTGGCCAAGGGTACCGCTACCAAGCCATGGTGTGCTATGACCAAGACAACAGGATAGTGGAGACTTCTCGATGCAACAGCCACGGTGAGTTTTCTGTGACTGAATAACTAAATCTGATCCCAAGGCGTCACATTAACACCGTTCCCCGCAGAGCAGGGGTCTCAAACTTAAATGAGCTGTGGGCCACTGCTAACACTGTCATCTCTTTGGAGTGCCACTTTAGTGTTCAAGTAGTACAAAAAACTAACCAAACAAACAAGAAAACACCCACAAATATTTCTGAAAATGTAGATTTTTTTTAATTTCAAATATTATATAACAAGACAAAACTGCAAATGTGAACACAGTTTTTTTCCCTCCCTCTTAACAAACTGAAGCCTTTCATTGAACTACCAAATAAACACATTGGCCAGACACGTAACAGCACTTCTGCTATCATTTTATTGGTATTTAACAAAATAAAATGACAACTGAATGCTACTATCCACCTGTGCCTTAGAAATATGTGCAAAACATCACTGAATTGAAATGGATTTCACAGCTCTGGGGAAGAAGCTGTGTCTCAGTCTGGTATGTTCGTATAACGCTTTCCAGAAGGAAGCAGTATAAACAGTCCATTGCCAGTGTCAGTGGGGTCTGCAGCAATATGTCTGTCCCTTTCTTGGATCTGTCCAGCATACACTGAGTCCAGATGTGGAAGTGGACTTCCCACAATCCCTTGTGCTGTTTTCACCTCTGCTGCCGTCTCTACTTGACAGGGTTACAGCTAAATGTTAGCTGCAAGATATATATGTTTGCATCTGCTGATTATTCTAAAGACAATGTGATTAAGTGTTCAATCAGTGAAACTGTGTAAATTGTCTTGGTTGTCATATAGACAGCCTATGTTACTGATTTGCATGCTTATGTGACCTCTGTGTAGTGTCTTCTCTGGTCTGCATTCACAACAAAAAGGCAACAGGTTAGAATGCTTTCTTTTATTGTCGTGGGCAGTCAGCGTAAAGACCTCGCAGGAATCCTCCATTATTCTGAGGATTACATTTACACTTGCAGTGTGATCATATAGTGGTAAAATTATATAAACGAAATAGAAGAACCTCAACACAATTAATCTGCATCTTAAATTTCCCAAATGAAAGGAACACAGAAATATATTTCAGACCTGTACATAAAACAATGAGTATTCTCTAAACAGTGTGCCACAGTCACATTCCTGCATTCACAACAAAAAGGCAACCAGTTAGGATGCTTTCATTTATTGTCGTGGGCAGTCAGCGTAAAGACCTAAATGGAAAAGCAACAACAGCGTTAGCTAACTATGCTCCCGTGTTTTTTTCTCTCTCTTCCCAATAAAGAAATCTCACATAAATGTGCATCAATTCAACATAAGGACTGGAGAAATTACCCACAACAAATGATGTTTAAACAACAAAAATAATCGGGTCAGATTGTATTACTGTTACAACCTGCGATATGATTTTTCTTCCCCACGACATTTGCGCATTCCTTACTTTGCAGGAATCCTCCATTATTCTGAGGATTACCCAGAATCCCTTGCCCTTTGTGAATGTTGCAGGGTGACCTTTACAACAGTAAGTGGTGCCAATGTCCCATTTAGCGGGATTTAACTTCAACTCTATTTGACTATGTTACACTTACCTCACACAGTACTCTGCAATGAGAGTACTAACCGGTACCAGAAAGAGAAAGAAAGACTATATGTCTCCCATATTGGCTCCTATTCTTTAAATCCAGAGTAAATTTTAAAATGCTTCTCTCCAAATAGAAGGTCTTGAATAATCAGGCCAAGACCTCAAAGTGGCATATCACCCTAATAGAGCACTTAGTTTGAAATGGAGAGACCATACCTTATTGGAAAAGATAGAGAAAAGTAACCATCACAACACAACTTCACTACAACCTCGAAAGTACCTTGTTCTGACTTTATTAGATAGTGAAGTGAAGCAGGCAGCCAAAGCCATACGGCAAATGGCCACCTGCTCATCCCGGTGAGCTAAGCCACCACTATGAAAATACTATGTTTAACCTAAGTTTTTGCACACACATTTAAACACGTGCATAGAGAAGCTGTCGATTTACCAATCAATCTACGTTTCTTCCTCACCCATGGTCACAAAAGAATAGGCTTTAAATACAAGTGACGGATTAGTTTCCTTGAAAAAAAAATCAAGTTAAGGCGATTCGGTCATCTGACCAGGATGACTCCTGGATCACTTCCAGTTGAGGTGTTTCAGACATGTCTTACCAGGAGGAGTCCCTGCTCATTAGTCCATCAGATGGATGGACCATTTTTCACAAACATATATCTTGAAAATGATTGGATATGTGAAACAAAAATTTTACAGCAATTTAATATGTCCAAACTTTGGACCATAAGATTTTTGTGCAAACCAGAGATGGTCGAGCAGAAGGCCCACAATAATTTGAGACTGAATGACCTGTATGTCAAATAATAAAAACAGACCATTAAAATCTATTTTGCCATACACCTTCCTAAAACTGTGTACAGCCAAGATGCTGTCAAATATCTTGCTCTACTTTTTTGTTATGTGACTGATTACAGGGTATATCGAGGAAGCCTGCATCATTCCTTGTCCATCTGACTGCAAACTAAGTGAGTGGTCCAACTGGTCTCGCTGTAGCAAATCATGTGGCAGTGGGGTCAAAGTTCGCTCTAAATGGCTCCGAGAAAAACCATACAATGGTGGCAGACCTTGCCCTAAATTGGACCATGTCAACCAGGTGAGAGAGGGCTCACTTAAAGTGTTATATTCTAGCTTTATACCTATTTTTTTGGATAATAACTTAAACAATGCTGTTTTCTGTGGTTTCCTTGTCTTCTTTTACAAATGGATTCCACTTACAGGCTCAAGTAAGTAGGCTGCTGCTTTTTGTAATTATTTCATAAAGTTAGTTTTGGTATTTAGTTTTATTATAATGTATGATTTTCAAACTTAAGCAAAACTGAGTGGAAGGATTTAAATTTCCTCTTTGACATCATGCATCTGTGCCTGTAGGGTAACTGGTGTTTTTATGTGCATCAGGTCTATGAGGTGGTGCCTTGCCTCAGTGACTGTGGGCAGTATGTGTGGGTGGCAGAGCCTTGGAGTGTGTGGAAAGTCAGCAATGTGGACCTGAATGACAACTGTGGTGAAGGTGTTCAAACCCGAAACGTCAAGTAAGATGAACAGATTCATGTGTCAGTGTCTCTGAGCTTTAAACAGGTGATATTCTTCCTTTTGGAGGAAAAACAGAGCTGAGTGTTTGCTTGTGCTGAATTGTTAAAAAGTGATCAAAAATTAAAATAGTAGTGCATGATGTTATAACCAATATATACACTATATTGCCAAAAGTATTCACTGACCCGTCCAAATCATTGAATAGAATAGAAATATCCTTTGTTGTCCCTCTTTGGGGAAATTCAGGTGTTCCATCAGCAAAGTGACAGGCAGATGGAGCATGCAGATTCACACAAAAGTAACGAAAGTAAAAAAAAAGAAGAAAAGAAATAAGAGACTGTGAGGGCAAATTTACAACATCCAAAAAAAAAGATTACCATACAGTTAGTAAAAATAGCATACTCAAATTCAAAGAAATGTGAAAGTGAGTAAGATAATCCTTTTAAAAATATACAAAAAGTGCTATATATTTGTGCTTTAAAAAACCTGACAAACTGTTTACAGAAAATGGGAAATGTGTACAAATAACAGCAGGGATGTGAACAACCCTTGTTGGGAACAATCACTGCTCCCAACAACGTTGTTAAGTGATGACGTGACGAATCCTACTTCCGGGCCTAAAGTAGTCTGTGTTTAATATGGCTTTTGTGTTGTTAACATGTTTAATGTTATGTATTTTCTTCTATTTAATCTCAAAAAGCTCCTAAAACAGTCAGTGATCACTGTTGACCTCCCTCGGCTTTTATTACCGCTAATCATTTATTTAAGCTCAGTTTTTAAAACCTTAGGATGTAACTACAGCTCAGCCCATGCAGCAGTATATGAATGACTAACCTCGTATTGTGGATGGATTATCTCAGTTGTTCTCCTGGCTGAAGTTTGGTCCTTTTACAGCATCCTGCCATGCGATTACATTTGTTCCTGACCACCGAGAACACTCACGTTAACTTTTATCCAGTGGGAAAAAAAGTTAGCTTGTTTATATTATGCTAACATAGCTGTGTCGCTAGCGGTCACGTAGCACATCATTATATACCAGCTAGCCAAACTTCAGTAACCCTACAAACGTCACTGCTGTTTAGTTTTCTGTCTTCATTTATGTTGGAAGTGATAACAGAGCTGTACATTTGAATTTGTTTCCAAAACCCCGCAGTCAGGACATGCTATATTGTATTTAGATAGAAGCTAGCGAGCTAACTTCCTGCTAACTTCTAACTCCGTTAAATGTCATAAACTCCGTTTTCATGGATGCCTGGATGTTAAACTCAATTGTTACACCTGGTAGAGCAGAACGCTGATCATTTTGAAAGACTTTAGACAGTTTTTCAACTCTCAGTAATGCCATAGTGATCGTTTGATATATGGACCTGCAGCGGAGTTTAGGCCCAGACACGGCTAGTGACGTCAGACTTAATGACCGGATTATGTTTGTTGGGAGCAGTGATGCTCATAAAGCTGTAAACATGGTAACATGAGACGGTGTTGTAACATTGTAAACATTGTACATGAAAGTTGTATTCGATCAGATTGTCTGATTATCTTAGCAGCAATGTGATGGCTGAGGGATAAAAGCTTTTCCTAAGTCTGTCTTTATGGATCTTAATCATCTGGCTAAAAGTAGACTTTGAAACAGGTCATGATCAGGGAGTGATGGGTGTTGAGGGATTTTCTTAATGTTCCTGAGTGTGGGAGTTGTGCAGTTCTTTAAATGAGGGGAGTGGACAGCTCACTATCCGCTGGGCGACCCGTATAACCCTGCAGTGGTTTCTCTTCTGTGCTACTGTGCAGCTGGAGAAGGATACCAGGATACTTTCTACTGTGCAGTGATAGTAGGACACAAACAGTTTCTCAGGGATGTTATTCTTTCTGAGAACCCTCAGAAAGTAGAGTCTCTTGTGGGCTTTCTTCACTACCTCAGCGGTGTGCGTTCCCTTGATCGGGTCTGGCCTGATCATTTCACACATAATGTGCTGATGGAATTTAGAAAGCACAGATTTTAAATCCACATGATTAAAATCCCCAGTGGGGACTGGCCTTCATGTCCATTATCAGTGTCTGACCTCACAAATGTGCTTCTTGAAGAGTAGTCAAAAATCCCCATCATATGGAAAGTCTTCCCAGAAGAGTTGAAGCTGTTATAGCTTAGAGGATGGGTCGACATCATGTTAAACCATTTTCATTAAAAAATATATTTTTGGCAATATAGAGTACATCTGGTTTAATATCCAGATATTTAGCTTTACAAAGATTTTACAAAGACCACATGTATTCATGTTTATTAACAGCTTTCTTTCAAGAAGACTGTAAAAATAGGCTCAAATATTCGAGTGTTGTTGAAGGAATGCTGTGAAACTAACTTTTGCTTCAACTTTTTGTGACCAGGTGCATGCTGAACACTATAGACGGGCCCTCTGAACAGGTGGAGGACTATTTGTGTGACCCAGAGGAAATGCCTTTAGGGGCCCGCAAGAGCCACCTGCCCTGCCCGGAAGACTGTGTGTTGTCAGACTGGGGAGCTTGGAGCCCATGTCCACTGGTAAGGATGGAATGAAGTTGCCAGTCTTTTTTTTTCTTTCTAAATCTTACATTGTTTCTGACATGTTGCCTTTATTATATAGTAGATAGTTGAAACCAGAGTTAAAGTAGTGGTTCTGAATTCAGAGATCTAGTGAAGGTAATAGTAATAGAGGAACCCCGCCTGTGTCAACTAAACCCGCTCTTCGTGCTAAAAAGGCACTCTGTGAATAAGTACATATGTTTGTTGATGGGTAAATGTGTCTTGTGGTGTAAAGGCAGTTTAAGAAAGATAAGTATGCTGCATAAAGGGAATTCTAATTTCCCATATGTGTAATTAGATTGGACCCAGCAACTTCAGAGTTTTAAGACTTCTCAGCCAATCAGATTGTCTCGTATTTCTTTATGGCTATTGTGTAATGAAGTTAAAAACCATTACACTGGATACAGTAGTGATATAGTTTAAAGCCTTCCCCTGCTTTGTAGCATCATTTTCAGATTCTCAGTGAGTTATTTTAACTACCAGATGAAAGTCAACGATTATTGACCCAAATTGTTTATAATCTAACAAGTTACTAGAATTAACTGATGAGACTGGTAATACAAATGTTCCCAAACTTTGCACAAAAATGAAAAAGAAATTTAAATGAAAAATAACTGGATTAACTCTCTTATTTCTAAGTCATCATAGGTGGTAATCTTAACCCTATATTTTGAACAAGGACAAAATTTCACTCATTATTACAGTCCATAATGGGATATATAGTATGTAGCTCCAATTAATTTACCAATAGGAGAGAAGATGAAAATCTGGCAGCCAATGGTGGGAAAAAGTAAAAGCGCAGCACCAACATGAGGAGCTAAACAAGGTGGAAATTAAGATGCTTCTAAACCAGCCGAGACATATGTTCTCACCAGCATGTCCTGGGTTAGAATAGGGTTTGCTTCCAGCTGGACGTGTCCAGCACATCTCACCTAGATGATGCTCAAAAGGTCAGATGCATGAAGGACCTGAATTGGCTCCTTTTGATAAGGAGCATGACCAAGCTCTAACCCTACTTCTATAGGAGAGCCAAGACACCCTTCAGAGGAAGCTAATGTCAACTGTTTGTATTTGTGATCTCATTTTTTAGTCACTACCCAGAGCTTGTGGTCATAGGTGAGGGTAGGAAAATATATTGCCCAGTAAATCAAAAACTTCTCTTTCATACTCAATGCTCATGCTACAGCAGCAGCATTACTGCATATGTTGCACAAATCCATCTGTCAGTCTCCTTCATCATTTTCCCTCTTTAGTGAATAAGACTCTGAGACAAACTGATGTATTTGGGGCAATGATTCAGCCCCACCCCAGGGTAGACACTTTAACTTTTCCCAGATGAAAACAGGATTCAGACTTGGAGTTGCTAATTCTTATCTCAGCCAATTTATACAAATAACTGCATGATGACGCCAACAGAAGCAGCTCACATCTCCACCCAAAAGTCCAAGAAATGCATGATATGATTACAGAATCAATCATTAGCCTGCAACCAAGTGTGTCCTAGTGCCAAATGCACTTATGAAAACTCTCATGCTTATTATAGACAACCTGTGAACAACAAAGAAGTCCAGTTACAGCGGGCTGCTCAGGTTTAGGTCAGGTAGGATGTGTCTGTGAAGGTTCTGAGTCATCCAGGTCGTCGTAGTCTAAGGAGCTTGGAAAGAAAAGCGTCCGGACTTCTTTAAGTTACTTGAAGACGTTTCACCTCTCATCCGAGAAGCTTCTTCAGTTCTAAGGTCAAATGGTGGAGAGTCCCAGATTTAAACCCAGTGGGAGTTTCCCCCCAAAGAGGGACAAAAGACCCCCTGATGATCCTCTAATCACATGAGCCAAGGTGGGAAAACGGGTGTGGGTCACAATCAGCCCCGGTTTTGGGTGAGCTCATTGTGAAACCTGGCCGCACCTTATCATGTGATTTCGAAATCACATGGTAGGGTGGGGCATGGTTTCACAATGAGCTCATCCTTTAAGTTCAAGCAACTTAAAGAAGTCCAGATGCTTTTCTTTCCGAGCTCCTTAGACGTCAGGTAGGATGTTGCTCCCGATCACACTCCACCAGCCTTCACTGTCATTGCTCACATGAATGCTGAGGTCCCCAAGGACAACAAATCTGGGGGACCTTCCAGCTATCAGCCAGGCACTCCCAGAAGGCTGTGTACTCTGAGCTGATGCTTGGGGCACAGGGAAAAACAACAGTGAGGACCTGTTCTCTTACCCCAAGGTGCATGGAAACATCCAGCTGAGAAAACTACCAGCAAAGAGAAGTATACCTACCCTAGTTCACTACTTCTTACTGAATGCAACTCCAAAGTGGAATAAAGATTAGCCCGTCTCCAGGATACTGCATCCAGAATTGAGCTGTGTGTTGAGCTGAGCCGAAATATATCTAGCTGGTATTGCTCAGTGTCACATATTTGTTTGTATGTTAATTAATTCAATTCACTTTTATTTATATACTGCTAACAACAATCGTGTCAACACACTTTATATAGTGAGACCCTTCATTATTTAAGAGAGAACCGCAATGACCAATCGCCAAGTGCTTACTCTATGTGCAAGCACTTGGCGATTGGTGGGAAGTAAGCGCTCCTTTTCAACAGGAGCTCTCTGTCAGGACCAGACTCATGGAGGGGCAGTAATCTGCAGTGACCAACTGAGGGTCAAGGGAAAAGAAGGGACAAAAGGTGAGGACAGATAGACCGCTAATAACAAACAGGACAAGACAGTTAACAATGTGCAAAAGTGCCATATAAACAAATCAGGACTGAAAAGAAGAAAGAATGAAAGTCCAACACCAATCTAGACTTAGAGCAACATAACAAAGGGATTTTTGTTATGTTGCTCTTATTTACAAACAATCTAAACCTTTTAAAAAAACAACAACAACAGAAAAAAATGAGTCCACAGAAGAGGGACTGGATAGTTAAACCTTGTAGTTCCCATTCTACTTTTGGAAACTCAAGAAACCATAGGTACCATAGGTATGGTAGGAGAATGTGACTGTGGACAGTTGTCTGTCTCTATGCGTACCGCACCTCTTGTGTTAATGTAGCTGGGATAGGATTCACATTGGGAAAAATGTGAATAGATTTTCCTGTGTGCCAGTTAAAATGATCATTTTCTCAGTTCTCTGTTGCCAAAACTTGGATTAACTGTGAAATAAAAACAATATTCTGATTGCCGAGGGTTAGAATTAGAGTTGGGATTATCACTGATAATGACTTTGACTTCTGAAGGTGAATATATGAATTAGGCCTGAACATTCAGGACTTCGTGTGTGAAAAAAACAAGCTTAGCTTCTGTTCTGGTTTTGGACTTTTTCTTGATCGCTTTGGCACAATTGTGACAGCAGAAAAGTAATTCTTACTACTGTTAATACAGTTCTCAAATCAGGAACACATTTCACCAATACAAACTGCTAGTGTTTCAATGCAAGATATGATGCACTTCTCACTTGAATCTCACATCTCATCAAAAGAGTTCAAATTTCAGTCAAATTACTTCTGTCTGTCTATCTCCAACATAGAAAAATCAAAAGCCTTTATGTTCCACACTTTTAATGTGTGCTTATGTAAAACAGTCAGAACCTTTCCCTCTGCTTTTCAGCCATGTAGTGAGAACAGCACCCGGGAGAGGAGTGCTTACCCGCTCCGACAGCCAGGAGAAAAGAAGGAGTGTCCACCGACTGAAGAGACAGAGCCATGCAAACTCAACAGGAACTGCTTTCACTACACCTACAACATCACTGGTCAGCATTAACCTGTTCAGATTTGTTTCCAAAGAAGTTGGGATATTATGTATGTTAATAAAAACAATGAATGCAAATCAATTAAATTCTGTACTTAGAGCAGGGGTCTCAAACTCCAGGCCTCGAGGGCTGGTGTCCTGCAGGTTTTAGATGTGTCCTTGATCAAACACAGCTGATTTAAATGGCCAAATGACTTCCTCAACATGTCTTGAAGTTCTCCAGAGGACTGGTAATGAACTAATCACTTGATCCAGGGTGATATCTAAACCTGTAGGACACCAGCCCTCGAGGCCTGGAGTTCAAGACCCCTGATTTAAAGACACAGCGTAGTGCAGTGTTTAGCACTGCAAATTCAAAGCAAGCACATCCTGGGTTTAAGCTGTTCAGTGCCCTTCTGTTTAAAGTTACCGTTTCACTGTGTGCCTGCGTGAGCTTTTTCCATGTACTGTATGTTTAAATCCTCATAGGTGTCAATGTGAGCATGAATGATTGTCTTTTTGTGTTGGCTTTGCAAAAGACTTGCGATCCTTCACTGAGTGTACATCCAGCATGCACGGATTAATTAAAGGAAGGAAAACAGAATGTCGGTTGTTTAAACTGAAACTTTGGCCCGGTCATTAAAAAGTATTTTATGGGTCAGAAATAAACAACTTGGGGTTAGTGCCCTTCCCAGGCATACAGACTGAAGCAGCCAGAGATTGAACCACCAACCTTCAGACTGTAGATGACCTACTCTCCTACCTCCTGAGCTACAGCCACCCCTGTTATGCTGACCTTTTACTGTGTCTCTTCAGAATGGAGTACCTGTCAGCTCAGTGACAAAGCAGTGTGTGGAAATGGATTCAAAACCCGCATGCTGGACTGTGTGCGTAGTGATGGTAAATCTGTAGACCTCGTCTTCTGCAAAGAGGTGAGATGTTTGGTACTGCTTGCCTTTTAAACCTTTGTAAATGGTTCTGTTTGAGTTCATGGATTACTAATGATATTTCTTTGCAGCTTGGTCTGGAGAGAAAGTGGCAAATGAATGCATCCTGTGTTGTGGAGTGTCCTGTTAATTGCCAGCTGTCTGACTGGTCACCATGGTCTGGCTGTAGTCACACATGTGGACTGGCAGGTAAACAAATCCAGGGAAGAATTGGAATTAACCAGTTACATTTTTCGCAGTAGTGTTTTGCTACTATGTGCTAATGTTTGAGTCCAACAGTCTCTAATCATATATGTTTCCTTTTAAGTTTTCTGTACTTTATCTGCACTGCACTGTGTTATTTTACAGATAGAAACTGTTCACAGCTCAGCTGCTCTAACAGGAATGATGAACACTGGAATAAAAGTGAATGTGGGAATTACAAACCTTTACTTCATGTAGATTGTCCAAATGCTTTACAAATGTTCTCTTAGCTTGGACTTGCTGGTTATAGTGCAGGAGGTTTCCCCACCTGGTGACTCCATTGTCCTACTTCAACACATGACAGTGAGACCTGGAGTGGTTTGGGAGGAACAGCCTGCCTCGAGTGGTTCAGATTACTGGATTTTTGTGCAGTTTGTGACAGAGGAATGTTCATGTGCACATGGCACTAGTACGCCCTGGGTAAATGATTGATTCTGGAAATAGTTTTTTTGAGAGTTTTTGAGAAGCTAAGCATTTAACAGATCAGCATCTAGTAGTTAGTTAGATCAAAAGGCAGGGTAGGATGGTATATCAGTATAGTACCAATTGCCTTCCTAGTGAAGTTAAATAAATCTGTAAATTCCTCAAAAAAGCTGCCTTTGAGTTTGGTCCTGCCCGAGAGTGCTACACTTTGGGTCCTGTCCTTCCTTGCCTCATACAGCGTTACATGACATTACATAGCAAAGGAAGAGGTCTTTATGTTTCGAGTAATTAATGTTATCCTATTCTTTTTTACCCAACCATTAATATTTGAATTTATTCATTTATCTGCTTTTTGGCAGGCAAACTGTGGAGAAGACGGACAGTGATCCAAGCTCCGCAGGGTGATGGGAGGCCATGTCCATCCCAAATGGAACAGTGGAAGCCCTGCCTGGTGAAGCCCTGCTACAGGTGGAGATACAGCGCCTGGTCTGAGTGCAAATCTGAGGTCAATTAGCCTTCCTCTTCTTCTTCAACATATTTACCAGAATAGTGAAACACTGTATTTAATTTTCACTAGTCACTAATTTTACTAGCGTAAAAAATATTATATAAAACCATTAAAGTCATATTAAACCATCCTGACATACTCACCTAGATGAGGAGGGATAGTCCAAAATGAAGGTGTCTCACAAGATGCTGTCATCAGACTTTCCAGAAGACTGACTTTGACCAACATTGTTGTGACGTTTGCCATTTCACTATTTAGTAAACCCTAAAAGACACGCTGTGACTCTCTTCCACAGCATGTCTTTATCCTGTCTTCCTTCTCTCACCATAACCGGTCGCAGCAGATGGCCCCGCCCCTCCCTGAGCCTAGTTCTGTCGGAGGTTTCTTCCTGTTAAAAGGGAGTTTTTCCTTCCCACTGTCGCCACGGTCTACCTTACAATATGAAGCGCCTTGAGGCGACTGTTGTTGTGATTTGGTGCTGTATAAATAAAAGTGAATTGAATTGAAAATTTATACTTAGTATTCATAAGAACTTTATAAATGAAAAATGGGACAATTAACATGACAAATGTCTTGACCAGTGTTGGTCAAGTTACTTAAAAAAAAGTAATCAGTAACTAATTACTGATTACTTCCCCCAAAAAGTAATCCCGTTACTTTACTGATTACTTATTTTCAAAAGTAATTAATTACTTAGTTACTTAGTTACTTTTTAAAAACACGATTTACAACCTGAATAGGTGATAAAGTGATAGATCTTTCAGCCCAATTCTACTTTTTCTGCATAATCCATCATACAAAATGTAATCAAATGGAAAAGTCTCTTTTTTTTAAACTTGTTTTATTAGTTTTAATCTTTTAACTTTAAGCATCAAGCAAACATTAAATTATCTGCAACATTCTCTGACTTGAATAAATTAGTTTAACATTTAAACCTATTTTCTGCACATTCCAGCTCATAAAATAAAAATATTTTTTGTGTTTACACTCAGTCTTTCAAATAGATGCAAGTAAAACACAGCAGAAAATAAATAAAGTCAAAGACTCAGCGGTCCTGTTGCTCTATTTTCACCTGTAAAGCAGCAGTGGTGTAGGCGGAGGTTTACCCTGGTGCAGGTGGTCAGTGGAAGAATCCGCGAGTTTCTCTGTGAGTTTCTCATCACGTCGTAGCTACTCGGTGCTTGCTCGGAAGTTTAGGGGTTTTTTTCGCTGTAAAAAGAAGTTTTCTTCCCACGCACAGCGGACACTAATGTTTTTGTCACTTTTTATGGAATCAAACTCAAAGTAAGGTCAGTACTTCCACGCTTTAAACTCTGCACGCTCATACTCTCTCCTGCACTCGATATATGATGCACTGTTGATCTGCACACAGCTGTTGTCACGAACGGCGCACTCGCTTACGTCACTGTCATGAGACATTCTCGCAAAAAAATCACGGTTTTAGTAACGCAGTAACGCAGCGTTCCTACGGGAAAGTAACGGTAATCTAATTACCTTTTTTGCAATAGTAATCCCTTACTTTACTCGTTACTTGAAAAAAGTAACGAGTAACGCGTTACTGCCCATCTCTGGTCTTGACTAATTATTATTATTATTATTATTATTATTATTATTATTATTATTATTATATGCCTCTCCTTTTAAATTGCCATGCTAACCTGAAGGATATCATTATTATTATTATTGTTATTATTGTTATAATAGTTTAATATTTAACTCATTTCAAACAGCAGGTGACCAGTAGTACCAGTACCAGTAGTTTGTTACTATATTTAGAATTAATTTTTAAACTTACCAAGGACTAACACAAATGGTTTAAAATCATTTTAAGGCCTAGTAGCTGAATGTGATTAAAGCTACCAGCAAGCTGACTGTACTACAGAAGTTAAATGTAGATTGAATTGTATCCATATTTAGTAATTCTGTTTGCTTTTCCATTAGGGAGCGAGGTGTGGAGAAGGTCTGAGATTCAGGAATGTGTCGTGCTTTGTGTCAGACGGTTCAGGTCGACAGGATGGTAGTGCGGTGGACGATGAACTGTGTGGAGATCTGGAGCCCTCAGTAGAAGGAAACACACAAATAGTTCTGCAGGAACCCTGTACTGTACCCTGTCCAGGTAGGTTGTTGTTGAATCCACCAGCCTCTTTGTTAATAAAGAGCAGTCACTTGCTGAGGTAACAGTAACTTGTCTGTTACTATTGGACCCAAACCCAAGACTATTCACACAAGTATTACAGTTAATGTGCTTCACTATTAAATACACTGACTAAATTGTTGATATTGAAAGAAATTCTGCTGTGCTGGTTTTAAATATTTCATCATCTGATGGATTCTGACTTTTGTATGTAAATAACGAGCATTGCTTACACACAATAGTTAATCACAGAATTCCACAGGGTTCTGTGCTAGGACGTTTTCACATTATACATCACCCCCAGATAATGTCATATCCAGTTAAATTCCTCTGCATAGTTTGGATAGTTTTGACCTTCAGTTCTATATTGACGTTGTCCTTCAGGATATGACTTTAAATTAGCATATATATAAATACTATAACAGGAAACATTGTCTCAGAATGATGGTAAAAAATGTCCATTTGTTACTTCTTGGGAGGAGGACTTCAATTATTTATCAGAATGTTCTAAACGCCTTTATTTGAGCTCTCTTTTCCTGTCAGTTCTAGTGCTGTTACTTAATGCTAATCATTGAATCTTTCTCTGCCATGAGCCGCAGAGTTTAGTGCAAAGTAAGAGATGATATTCAGCTGCAGGTGATTTACCAACATAAATCCCTTGAAGGACTAAAATGAACCAGAAATGCCTGATTGACAAGTTTATTTTTACAGTGGGTAAATGTCTCACTTTTCTAGCATCTGCTCTATAATCTCTGCAATGTGTCATGGTCTGTGTGCGGGCAGGCAGAAAAGAACCCAATCGCAGACTCCAAAACCCAAAGACAAAAGCTGAACTTAAACAGCTTTATTGCTGTGCACAAACTGAACTGAACTGGGAATACAAAAACTAAACTAGTAGGCAGGCAGACGGAACACACAGCGAGGGAGGATGGTGAGCAGACGTTAACGATGCGACACTGACACAGAGAAACACAGGCCTTAAATACACACTGGGATAACAAGGGCATGAGACACAGAAGGAGAGCACAGCTGGGACTAATCAAAGCTGACTAGACAAGGGGAAGCAAAACCAGACACACTACACACAGGACAGAGACTATCAAAGTAAAACAGGAAAAACAACAACAGGTATGCGGAGACACGAGCTTGACACAAGACCTCAGACATTGCAAGAGGGAGGGAACACACGGGCAGACAGAGGAAGCACAGAACCAAAACCCAAAGAACTTAAAAAGTCTAAACCCAAATACATCATCAGAATAAACCAGAACATAGTATGATAATAATGATGAACACAAAACGCTGGGTCAAATGACCCAGGACCCTGACACAATGCCTCCTCGACACACGATGACTTCCACTATATCAAGCAGGAAAAATGAGACCAGCTGTTTTGATTTCTGTAGTAAATCAGTTTGCAAACTTGATTTAAAGATTCTCCTGGAAGGAACCCCCAGAAATAGGTATAAATATTTAATAACCACTGTATAGTGCCTTTCTAAACATTATGGATGGCTACCATAATGCTCATTTTAAAGAATGTATAATGTGTAAGATTTGTGTGCCATTTCATTCACGTTTTATTTTCCTTTAACTAGCTTAATATTACATTTTAACAGCACATGATATAATCTCCCAAAGCCATGAATAGGCTGTGGATATGCACTTATCACTTAAAATTTAACACTTAAAACTTTAATTATGGATTCTTAATAATGGACACTGTGTTTATCACTAACTTAGTTTTTACATCATACAGTGATGTTGCATTTTGGTTTGCTGATTAACTGATTTCTGTTCTGTAGGAGAGTGCTACTTGACAGACTGGACTGTTTGGAGTTCATGCCAGCTAAGCTGCATAAATGGAGCTGACCTGGGCTTCGGTTCAGTCCAAGTTCGATCCAGAGCCGTGGTGGCCCAGGATCCAGAGAACCTGCTGCAGTGTCCAGAACAAGAGCTTGAAGCACGACCGTGTACAGGTCACAATAGTCCCGGTCAAAGGATGTTTTTTAATGTGAACTGCAATTAATTCAGACATTTAAGCACTGATATAGTTTTGCCCCTTTTCCTGTTTTTTTTCTTACACTAAGAAATGTAAGTGTAAGCTACACAAAAAATAAAAGTGGTGAAAAGGACCAACAATATTCATATAATTTATATAATTTAATTTTAAATTAAAAAAACTTTTTTTTTAAACAAAAACATCTGATTATATCCTTTCTGTAGACGGTGAATGTTTTGATTACAAGTGGAAATCTGGACCGTGGAGAGGCTCGTCTCGGCACGTCTGGTGTGAGCGTTCAGATGGTCTCAATGTCACAGGTAATAAGAACGTGTTTACTGAGTGAACAAATGAACTAAATGAGCTACAGTCTGCCTGTCAGTTCTTTTTTCTTTTCCCAATTCAGTGCCTGTTCTTTAAAACCCTCGATTTACTGAATGCTCAAATTGCCATTGTAGACCAGTTTACAGCCTGATCTCAGACAGAGCAGATGTAAATGTGAGTGTGTGCATGAGTTGCCGCAATAAATCTTTGACATGGGGATTTGCTCTGTGATTAGCAGGGTGACAATGTGCATAAGCTTTCCTAAAACAGTCTTCCCCACAAGCATTACTGGAAAGAGAATTTGAGATCCAGATAACAGATGTGTTTCAATCCCCAGCAGTGCCACGGTGATGATTGAAGCCTGCTGTCCATCACCATCAGCACTTTGCATCCACTTCTTTTCCAAATAGCCAATTCATTCATATTTTTGTATACATGAAGAAATATCAGTAGATCTGATGCTCCAGATGCTGTGCTGGCCCTTGCATCTGTGATTGGCACAATGCACATTGTTATTCCCTTTTCATAGATTTTTGCTTGTAAGCAGTGGCATTCCTTTCATGAATATTAATATTGATTTCTCCTCCAGAGCCCACAACCTAATAAATATTCAGTAGCCTTGCTGGATCCCCATGCTTTTGCAGACTTGCATTTTTTCTGTCAGTGTCAGTTGCACACTGTCTACATCATTCCCATTACTTTATTCTAAGCATCATTAGACCATTGCTGACAGCTGTGTCCGCAAGCCTCCCCAGGCACTGCCTTTGAACCCACTGGACTACACCCCTCCCCTGCAGCTGAGCCGCAAAGCCACATTCCATTGGCACACAGCCCCATTACCCAACTCATGGCCTACTCACGGGCATTTTAACATAACATTCAGGGGTGGCTGTAGCTCAGGTGGTAGAGCAGGCTACCTATTAAATGGGAACCAGATGAGGATTGGTGGTTCAATCCTCATCTGCTCCAGTCTGTATGCCAAATATCCTTAGGCAAGATACTCACCCCAAGACGCTCTCGGTGCATCCATCAGAATATGACTGTGTGTGAATGTAAGATAGAAGCCCTTACATACAAAGACCACTGAGAAAAGTGCTTGTGTGAATGGGTGAATAAGGCAAGTTGTGCAAAATGTTTTGAGTGCTCAGTGTAGAAAAGTACTATGTAAGAATCAGTCCATTCAATGGCTGCTGTTTTGTCTATCTGGGGTGCACCTGCCTGCCTCCCAGTTGGTACCCCATATACTGTACCTCCTTTCATCTGACCACACACTTCCCGCTGCATATGCTCTGCCCAGGTGTCACTGTGGATGATAACATATACAGATAGGTGGCAGCCTGTGTAGTGTGCAGACACAGCACCTGCTGGAAAGTGGCCGAAGCGCCAGCAAGCTGAAAGGAAGGATGACCAGTTGGTACAACCCATACGGAGTGGAAAAGGCCGTTTTCTCCTTGTACTCTGGAGAAAAGGGAATCTGCCAGTAACCTTTGGTCAAATCCATCAAAAATCCATAGACCCATCTTTCTTCAGCCAATTCCCTCTGAACTCTTTACGTTTTGTGTTCAGGTAACCCGTAGAGCTGTGAAACCAGCACCACCCCAGGGTTAGTCTCAAAGTGGTGTTCAATGAGAGCGGTGCAACTGGGCAGGGGAGACAACAGACACACAACATCTGCTCTCTGGGCCAATGTTAGAAGGTGGTCACAAGGAGAGAGGTGGGAATGGTTGAAGTTGGCACCTCCGACCCCAACTCATCTCTATCCTTTACCAATCTAACAGGAGAAATGGATTCTCCCTCTCTCCATGCTTTAAGGAGGTGGTTAATTTGTGTGACCCCTGTACGACCACAACACTTCATAGTCAACACGCCCCACTTGCCACTGAGGTCCAGGACATACTGAATTACTGAATATGGAGGGTGCTGGGAGGCCACCTCGCTGCAGCTTCCCAGAGCCTCTGAGTTTAGTCAAAGGGGCGATCACACGCTTTCATCTGGCTCTCCAAGGAACTGGCAGCGGTGATCTTTAGAGGACAGGCCCAGATGATCCAAAATCACAGACGTGCTTAAACTTGCCTTGCGATGCTGGGAGCAGCTACAGAGCCCACTCTTCCACTGGCACACCTTGGCTGCAGCTCCGAAGATATCCACAAAGGATCATGCGACAGGTGTGACAAATCACTTCGGGAATTTGGTCAACACTGTGACAGGATTTGTGCTGCTGGGAAACCCGACACAACCTGAGAGGTTCTTGGTTTATTGCAAATAACTTATACTTGACAAGGAAGGTGGAGGGCTATGAAAACAACGCAAGAGACTATACAAAGTAAACCCTAAGTAGATTACAAAGACAAATAAACAGAAACTCAAATGAAGAACTAAGGCTCAAGATATTAAAAAAAGATATATAACTCAGTATAAACAATAAGCAAAAAAAGAACCAAACAGAACATCAAACCTCTGGTTTGACCTTTTGAACTTTACTCCACAGGTGGATGCCTTACAACAGCCAAACCAAAGGCAGACCGATCGTGTAACCCACCATGCACCAAGCCACAGTCCCTGTGCACAGAGGTGAGTATATGATGAAGTCAGTTCATTCATTTTTCTTACATCTGTGGTCAGATCCAATCTTCAGCTTCCACTGTGCCACTGAGTAACTGTCCAGGTGGATTTGAGACCTATCTAATAGAGCGATTGTAGCTCCATTGCCAGGCTCTACATTCGTGTGAACAGCTCATTAAACCCTTCATGCTAGAAAATAAAACTTCCACCTGCTTTTTGAATATAAGATTCAAATCATACATCATTTGAAAAATGAAATGCTTATGCTTACAAATATTAAATTCAGTGTAGATGACAATCATTACAGCATGAGCAGTTTCTCATTCTGATATAGTTGGAGACAAGCAGAAAACTAGCCTGCTGTTTGCTTCATAGTTGTATTATATTAGAACACATCATTATTGCTTCTTACTTCTACAAGTAAGCCTGCAATCCAAGAGCAAAGCTCTCTATTGGGATGATATGAGGTCTTTAAGATAAGATGTTTATGATTATTAAGGACCTTGAATATGAAGAATTAAATTTGATTCTGGGTTTAACAGGGAGAACTGAAGAGAATCCAATTTGGGGGAAATAAGGACTCTCTCTATATTACCTGTCAGTACTCTTGCTGCAGCAACTCAAAGCTTTTCAGGCAGCTTTTAGAACAACATGATAATAATCAATTGCAGTAGCCCAGCCCAGAAGTAATAAATGACTGAAGTAGTTTTTCACCATCACTCTGAGACAGGAGGTTTCTTATTTTCGAGATATTGAGACATTTGATAAGAGAAGCTGTTAACAAATTGTGAAACTTGCAATGGCATCATGATATGTGACTAAACCTTACATGACTTGGACTTTTGAGTTGTGAATGGCTGCTGTTTTATTTCTGTTTTTTTAAACCTTTAGAAATGTGATTGTTTGAGGTTATTCATGTTATTCAGTAGTTCAGGTCAGTAGGTCATGCTTCTACAGTACATCTTATTAATTACTCATGCAGGGAGCATTTTTATCCCAAAGGAAGAGATTCTTATTTACCAGATGTCCATGTGATTGGCTTCGAAAACATTTGTCATGCTTAGCTCTTGATGGCAGGCTATTGGTTTTGAGACTAAAGGGTGGGCCATTTATATGGATACACCGTAATAACATGGGAATGGTTGGTGATATAAAGTCCTGTTTGTGGCACATTAGTATGTGTGAGGGGGCAAACTCCTCAAGATGGGCGGTGACCATGGTGGCCATTTAGAAGTCGGCTATCTTGGATACAACTTTTGTTTTTTCAATAGGAAGAGGGTCATGTGACACATCAAACTTATTGGTAATGTCACAAGAAAAACAATGGTGTGCTTGGTTTCAACGTAACTTTATTCTGTCATGAGTTATTTACAAGTTTCTCACCACTTATAAAATGTGTTCAATGTGCTGCCCATTGTGTTGGATTGTCAATGCAACCCTCTTCTCCCACTCTTCACACACTGATAGCAACACCGCAGGAGAAATGCCAGCACAGGCATCCAGTATCTGTAGTTTCAGGTGCTGCACATGTCGTATCTTCACACCATAGACAATTGCCTTCAGATGACCCCAAAGATAAAAGTCTAAGGGGGTCAGATCGGTAGACCTTGGGGGCCATTCAACTGGCCCACGATGACCAATCTACTTTCCAGGAAACTGTTCATCTAGGAATGCTCGGACCTGGCACCCATAATGTGGTGGTGCACAATCTTGCTGGAAAAACTCAGGGAACGTGCCAGCTTCAGTGCATAAAGAGGGAAACACATCATCATGTAGCAATTTCAAATATCCAGTGGCCTTGAGGTTTCCATTGATGAAGAATGGACCCACTATTGTTGTTCCCCATATACCACACCAAACCATCACTTTGTTGTTCCAACAGTCTTGGAGGGATCCATCCAATGTGGGTTAGTGTCAGACCAATAGCGATGGTTTTGTTTGTTAACTTCACCATTCACATAAAAGTTTGCCTCATCACTGAACAAAATCTTCTGCGTGAACTGAGGGTCCTGTTCCAATTTTTGTTTTGCCCATTCTGCAAATTCTGTGCGCCAATCTGGGTCATCCTCGATGAGATGCTGCAGTAGCTGGAGTTTGTAAGGGTGCCATTTGTGAGTAGCTAATATCCGCTGAAGGGATGTTCAACTAATGCCACTCTCCAGTGACATGCGGCAACTGCTACGCTGTGGGCTCTTGCTGAATGAAGCTAGGACAGCCACTGATGTTTCTTCATTAGTGACAGTTTTCTTGCGTCCACATTTTGGCAAATCCAACACTGAACCAGTTTCACGAAACTTAGCAAGCAGTTTGCTAACTGTAGCGTGGGAGATGGGTGGTCTCGTAGGGGGTCTGGCATTGAAATCTTCTGCAATGACCCGGTTACTGCGTTCACCAGATATCAACACGATTTCGATCCGCTCCTCACGTGTTAACCTCTTCGACATGTCAATGGCTGTGAACAAAGAGAAACTTGTAAATAACTCATGAAAGAATAAAGTTACATTGAAACCAAGCACACCATTGTTTTTCTTGTGACATTACCAATAAGTTTGATGTGTCACATGGCCCTCTTCCTATTGAAAAAACAAAAGTTGTATCCAAGATGGCCGACTTCTAAATGGCCACCATGGTCACCACCCATCTTGAGGAGTTTGCCCCCTCACATATACTAATGTGCCACAAACAGGACTTTAATATCACCAACCATTCCCATGTTATTACGGTGTGTCCATATAAATGGCCCACCCTGGAGATTGTTACTCAGAGAGTGAAGGCCTTTAAGTGCTTTCCTCAGACTGTTTTCATGCTGTAATATCAGATTGAATTAATAACTGCCAATGCTTTCAGTTCTTTAATTGGCAGTGAAGAATCTGCAGTCCAGCAAAATTCTGAAAAGAATGATACCTGACTTAAAGCATGTTTATTCATATGTGTAATTCATTTTGCAGTTTTTCTTGATCACTTTGAGTAGTTCTCAAATGTGGAACACATTTTCCCCACACACATTTCCCATTGTTCTTGTACACACTGCTGTGTCTACATATTTTTTAATTAGTTTTGATGCATTTCTCAACTGAATTTCACAACTCATCAAAAAAGTTTGTACTTTGGTCAGTCAGAACTACATATCTCTCACTTACCTTAATATTGTTCAGTGTTGCATTAATATTTTCAGTCAATTTAATTCAAACCTTTTCTTCAGTATGTATGAAAGAGTCAGGCCAGTCACACACTGATAGTGAAATTGCCCTTCAACAGAAAACAAACACAAAAACATGTTCTCAGAAGAGGTGTAGTTCAAACAAATAGAAATACGTGTTCACAGACGTGTGTCATAGGTGCATCTCATGTCATGTCATGGATACACTTTCATTATAAGAACATACAGTTAAAAGCACTGCTGAACTTGGTGTTTACAGTTACAGTCTATGAAGAGCATTCTGACTGACGTCCCTGGGAGCTGTAAGTGGTATGGTTAAGTGTTTTGAGAATTTTGAGAAATCAAAATTGGAGTTCAAAGGGCTGGGTTGAAATTTGGCACTTGGTGCATTGGTTTTTCAGCATTTTCAACTTTTCATTTTCAGAAATTTTCAATGATGAAAAACACATTCAAGCTCTCTATGGAGTTTGGAAAGAAAAGCGACAGGACTTTTTAAAGTTTCTTGAAAACCTTTCACTTTTCATCTGAGAAGCTTCTTCAGTTCTAAGAGCAAATGGTGGAGAGTCCCAGATTTTTAAGCCCTATTGAGAGTGCCCCTTAAGAGGGTCGTTGACCCGCTATTGATCATCTGCCTAATCACATGAGCCTAGGTATGAAAACGGATGTGGGTCACTATCAGCCAAGTGGTTCAGGACTGTCTAATAGTGACCCACACCCTTTCTGTGAATAACTGCAACCAAATCAGTTTTAGACCAGCTTCAAATCTAGAAACACTTCTGCCAGAAATTGAGGTCATCTCAACCCATATTTCAAGTTTTATGTAAAAGACTTGGATGTTATTTTGTTCTCTTGTCAACAATAACGCCTATACTATACAGTCTCCCACTGTCTCTGTTAACATATTTTCACATGATGCTAAATTCTGCATCAACTCTGCTGACTGGTGCTAAAAATATGAGCATATCCCTCCAGTCATGGCTTAGCTGCACTGGCTTCCTGTCCATTTTAGAATTTAGTTTAAGCTTTAATAATGGCCCTTAATAGACAAGCCCTAGCTTATATTACCAGTCTTACTCATTGACATTCAGTTCCCAGGACTTTCAGTCCACTGGCAAAGATCTCTTAGCCCTTTCCCACTAGTACCTACTCGGCTCAGCTTTACTTGGTTTTGAGGGTTTTCCATTAGGTGACAGTACTTTGTACTACGTACTTTTTTAGGACCTACTCGATCAGGTTCCAAACTATCTAAATTGATCTGATCAACAGACTGACTGGTCAGTCAGTGGCATCACTTGAGGCATTAGAACGACTCCTTCACAAAAATCAAAATTTGAAACCTGGCAACATGGGAACTGGCTGCACAAAAATCAGCACCGTGTCCAGGAATGAAGTCCAGACACTTACCAGCAGCAGCACGTATACCATGGCCTCAGTGCCCTGGATTGTGTGTTGTTTTTGTCCCATGCAAGTGACATCACAGGATTTTTGGCTGCATTGCTAGAACAACCCCATGCACGTTAGGTGGTTGTTATACTCTTACTCAATTGTAATTAAAAATGACGTAGACTGAGTCGAGTCGAGTCAGTTTGAGCTAAGTAGGTACTAGTGGAAAAGAGGCATGACATGTTCTCAAACAAGGCAACAAAGCCGTTGCAGTCGCTCTGCGACAGTTGTAGAAGCAGTTACTGCTTGACATCAGGCAGTGTTCTTATTACATGTTTATCAGGAAGACTTAACTTCTCTAAAACAGACTCCAAAACAACTCAAGTTAATCTGGGGATTTTCAAAAACTCATAGTTTATCAACTTTACATGTAATGCAATGAATTGGTCAGATACCAAAACCAAACCATAAAAAGGAAAAAGAAAATATAAAAATGTTGATTGATTGGTATCTGCTGTGAATAAACACCACAAAGCCGTCTTTTCTCCCTTTTTAAAGCAGTTTGAAAATTATTTGACTTCCAGAAACTTTTATTCCTTGTGTTACCTATGGCACATCTCTGCTGCTCAGAGTTTCGTTTACATAGTTTCATATAACAGATTGCATTATGAAATTTCTCTTTCCTGTTTCAGGCGGGTGTGTGCGGCTGTGAAGATGGCTACACTGAAGTGATGACATCTGATGGCTTGCTGGACCAGTGCACTGTCATTCCAGTGCTAGAGATCCCCACTGCAGGTGACAACAAGGCTGACGTTAAGACGATCCGAGGCTTCAACCCCACTCAACCTGCAGCCAGCTCACCAGGCAGGGCAGGACGCACCTGGTTCCTGCAGCCCTTTGGTCCAGGTAACAGAGCCATCTCTGTCAGGTCTATAAGAAATGAGAATATATTTAAACAAGAAGCCCATTATGTGAATGCAATGTTTAATCTCAGAAATGGTAAAATGATTTCTGTAATTTATTTATAATCTTTTATTACAGACTTTGTACTATTGTGAACCTTGAGGCTACATTGGGAATTTTTTTTTAAACACTGAAAAATTTGGACAAATTCCAAATATTATCTTATGTTATATTCTGCTGCCCCCTGCTGATCAGATGAGGAACCGACTATAGCAGAAACCTAAGCACTGGTAGGATCAAATCAGAAGCTTCCACAGAAATATTCATTCATTCGTTTCTTTTAATGTAATTTATTGTTTCCAAAGAGGACATTTGTTCTGGACTCCAACAGGACAAGCATTACAACAACCACCACTACAAACCATTTAGAGTTATTCAGAGCATTAATCGAGCAAGTTACAAATGAATTCTTAAACCTTTTAAATTTTCAAATCTTCTGTCAGAAAGTAACAGCTCATATTGCAAGTACAGGATATGACTTAGATTGCACAAAATTCCTGTGGCTTGCTGTAATGCACACTGTTCTGATAAGGGCTGTGGGCTTTCTGGACTATAATTTTCATGGCTGCCTGCACCAATTTTAACAGCCTCCATTTTACTGAGAAATTTCCAGACCACGCTATTATTTTGTGTCTAATTATACTTATACGTGCTTAAAACAGGAAACACAAAAATGCTCAGACAGAAGCATGACTTTTTGAGAGAGCCCACCCAGCCAACATGAAAACCAACATAGTTATACAACCATTTTTAAAACATTTGTGAAAAAAGAATTTTTTACCATTTAATAATAGAGCTGTGTGTCCTCTGTTTTAGCTTCTGAAAAAGGCTGGATAGTATTAAAAGCAGAGCTAAAATCAATAAAAAACGCAGCCAAGCATAAGCTGTGGGGTCTTCAGGGGGTTTTAAAACCAAGTGCATCATGCTGTTTCTAGGATCAACTGTGTTTTGAGGCTCCAAGCTGGTGTCAGCTTAGGGCAGACATAATCAGTCATTTGGTGAACAATGTCCCCTCTAATTTTTCACGTGTGTGAGCGAACACACAAACTCCCTGAGCGTCCCTTGGACCACTGTGAGCAACAGCAGACGTGTGCACTGTGGTCACGCCAGCATCCAATCCATCCAAGTCACATGTTTATTAAAGTAATCAAATTACAGCATTTATGTTAGACTACTTTTAATTAACTGCTTTAGCCCACTTACAATGAAAATAAATAAAAAATCTTGTTCATGACCTGTGTAGCATGTTAACACTATTGGAAGGAAAAATAACTTCAACTCCAATTTTGAAAACACAACTTTCTTTATTTATTATTTATTATAAAGCTCTGACTTGTATTATGAGTCTGAGTCTGTGGTCTGGGAGAGAGTCTGTAACTCTGTCTGCAAAATACAGTAAATAATGACCAATGTTGGGTAACTAATTATATAGTTACTTCTTCAAAAAAGTAACTGAGTTTTGCAAACAACAAAGTATTTTGCAGCTGTTTACCTAAAAATGCAGCCAAGGCATTTTTTAAATAAACATTTCAAACTATTTACAGAACAATCAGCTGTTCTGCATCAAATCTGATGCCACACAAATTATTTGTGTCACTCCAAAAAATAATTTCTGTCCACTATGAGATGAAGGAGAACAACAGCCTGATACCTGCAGGCCTGACAGCAGCAGATGTGTCACTGCTGTAACACCTGTAACACTCAGCAGTCGCCTCGTTGTTCTGACACACAACAAAACTATTGACTACATTACACACTAACTACACACTAACTACACAAGATTTGCGCTAAATGTGCAAATCTCTCACATCTGAAACACGCCGTCACTCCTAAAACTTCCCCCGTCCTAAACAACTAAATGCCATGTTGCCATATCATTTTTTGATTGGTCCACATGGTACATTTGTCCACCAATAGGAAAGGGTGGGATTTTTTTGGTTTTGTTTTTGCTCACAGGTGGAGAGTGCTTTGAAGCGTTTTCCTTATAAAACGCCATTTTCTTCCTGCAGTAAATATAAACAACGACAGTATTCAGGAAGAAAACCAAACATTGCAGATATTTTATCATAACTCTGGTTTTACGTGGCCGATCAACACAATTTAAAAACTGGTATAAAGTCCACACTTTGTCCGTCAGTTGTTCCGTCTGTCCTGCTCACGTCTCCAATGGTTGTACACATTGTCATTAACGTGGCTCCACTCCACATCAGCCGCTTTGCTAAAACATCGGCACATGAGGACGCTGTCATAGCCTGTCAGCGACGTTGATTAGCTGCGTATACACGAATGTGAATCGCATCATTGGCTGGACTTTGGGATAAGTTGGCATCGTTCGGGGTCCAAGGAACCTACACACAGAAGCGAGTGTTAACACTACACTGAACAATCACAAAAGCAAACTTAGACTTAGCCAGGGCTTTCCAAACTCGGGGCATTCAACGTTCCAGCGATGAGCTGCTCCGAGCCTCAACCATAAATAGCGGCCAGGGAAAACAGGAACTAATTAGCTGCAGGTGCCGATCATCAGCGCAGATGCGTCGGCCAAAAGCGGGAGCCCAGTAATGAGTTCTGCCCAGGCAGACAGAGGAGAGCGAGCGACATGGAAAACAACAAAAACAACACTGTGGGCCAATGTGAGCCAGCTGGCGAGACAGGGGACCAACATTATATACATTATATTCTTAGTTAACAAACTTAACAAACCTGTTTTGTTTTTTTTTGCTTTTGTCTGGAGTGTTGGCCAAATTACTTGAAAAAAGTAATCAGTACCTAATTACTGATTACTTCCCTCAAAAAGTAATCCCGTTACTTTACTGATTACTTATTTTCAAAACTAATTAGTTACTTAGTTACTTTTTAAAAACATGATTTACAACCTGAATTGGTGATCTTTCTGCCCAATTCTACTTTTTCTGCATAATCCATCATATAAAATGCATCAAGCAAACATTAAATTATTTGCACCATTCTCTGACTGGAAGAAATTTGTTTAACATTTAAACCTATTTTCTGCACATTCCAGCACTTAAAATAAAAACATTTTTTGTGTTTACACTCACTCTTTCAAATAAATGCAAGTGAAACACAGAAAATAAATAAAGTCAAAGACTCAGCGGTCCTGTTGCTCTATTTTCACCTGTAAAGCAGGAGTGGGGTAGGCGGAGGTTTACCCTGGTGCAGGTGTGCCGCGGTCAGTTGAAGAATCCGCGAGTTTCTCTGTGAGTTTCCCATTACGTCGTAGCTACTCGGTGCTTGCTCGGAAGTTTAGGGGTTTTTTTCGCTGTAAAAAGAAGTTTTCTTCCCACGCACAGCGGACACTAATGTTTTTGTCACTTTTTATGGAATCAAACTCAAAGTAAGGTCAGTACTTCCACGCTTTAAACGCTGCACGCTCATACTCTCTCCTGCACTCGATATATGATCCATTCTTGATCTGCACACAGCTGTTGTCACGAACGTGGCACTCGCTTACATCATTGTCATGAGACAGTCACAAAAAAATCACGGTTTTAGTAATGCAGTAACGCAGCATGCTTACGGGAAAGTAACGGTAATCTAATTACCTCATCACATCCATGATGGCGGCGCGTGAACAACGCGAGGCTCAGTGTCTCTCCAGAATCTGCTATTTAGCAGTTTTTTATCTACTTTTAACCGGATTATTCGTCCAGAATTGCTGTGCGTTCCTGACCTACAGCAGACAAGAGCTTCTGGACATCTGGACTCATAACTCCAACAGTTTTATCGCCGATCTCCGACTCATCCCAGAGATCTCCAGAACACCGGACGCTGCCCACTCTACCCGGCCGGGCGGAAGTGCACGCAGACGGCGCCGAGATCGTAAACAAAGGCGAGGTAGGCGCGGAGGGCTACGGGCTAAGCTAAAGCTAACACCACACCGGCTGCCTTTACCCAGTATTTTCCTCGCCAATGTCCGTTCTCTGGCAAACAAAATGGATGAGATACGGCTCTCCATCACTAACAACAGACGGATTATGGACTCAAATGTCATGTTTTTCACCGAAACATGGTTGAACAACAGCTGCCCGGACAATGCTATCGAGTTAGCAGGACGCCACACACACCGAGCCGACAGGCTAGCAGATGACTCCGGCAAGACCAGAGGTGGAGGTTTGTGCATTTATATTAACAATGCTTGGTGCATGAACTCCACTACTACTGAGAGTCACTGCTCACCTAATGCGGAGTTTTTAATGGTCAAATGCAGACCTTATTATCTCCCCAGAGAACTCACTTCGATCATACTCACTGCCGTGTATATACCCCCCGACGCTAATGCTAGGTTGGCCATGAAAGAACTTTCTGCAGCCATTAACAAACACCAGAATAAACACCCCGAGGCTGCTTTTATTGTTGCTGGCGACTTCAACCACACCAACTTAAAGACAGTCCTCCCCAAATTCCACCAACATGTCTCCTGCCACACCAGAGGAGACAAGACTTTAGACCATGTGTATTCCAACCTGGCTGGAGCCTACAAAGCCACACCCCTTCCCCACATTGGACAATCGGACCATCTCTCCCTGTTCCTTACACCTAGGTATTCACCACTCATCCAACGTGTGAAACCTGCTGTGAGGACAATTAAAGTGTGGCCAGAGGGGACAGACGCAGTGTTCCAGGACAGATTTAAAAACACAGACTGGAATATGTTCACCCACACAGACCTGGACCAGTACGCCTCATCTGTACTGGATTACATCTCCGAAACCACAGACAGTGTCACCACCCAGAAACGGATCACCATGTACCCCAACCAGAAGCCTTGGATGAACCGGGATGTTCGTCTCCTCCTGAAGGCCCGCAACACCGCCTTTAGGTCAGGAGATGCACACGCCTACAGTACAGCCAGGGCTAATCTAAAGAAGGGCATCAAAAAAGCCAAACACCATTACAAAAAGAAGGTAGAAGAACACTTCTCC